TTAGTCCTGGTTTAGTCCTAGGTTCAGTCCTGGTTTAGTCCTCGGTTCAGTCCTGGTTTAGTCCTGGTTTAGTCCTGGTTTAGTCCTGGTTTAGTCCTGGTTTAGACCTGGTTTAGACCTAGTTTAGTCCTGGTTTAGTCCTTGGTTCAGTCCTGGTTTAGACCTGGTTTAGTCCTTGGGTCAATCCTGGTTTAGACCTGGTTTAGTCCTGGTTCAGCTCTGATTTAGTCCTGGTTTAGACCTGGTTTAGACCTAGTTTAGTCCTGGATTAGTCCTAGGTTCAGTCCTGGTTTAGTCTTGGTTTAGCTCTGGTTTAGTCCTGGTTTAGTCCTGGTTTAGTTCTGGTTTAGTCCTGGTTCAGTCCATAAACGGTGCAAAAGTTCAGCATCTTTTATTTTTATTTTGGCTGAGAGTAACTTAAAAGTGCTGCAATAGTCGTGTAATATTTAACATTTTAAAAACAGTAATATTGTAATGTGACTTTGTTTGTGTTTTTTGTGTTTCATGAGTGATGTTTTTCAGGTTGTCCTTGTGCAGAGTGACCGAGCGCGGCTGCATGTTTTTGGCCTCTGCTCTGAACTGCAGCGTTCTGAAGGAGCTGGACCTAAACTACAACCACCCGGGACAGGAGGGAGTGCAGCTGCTGAGCGCCCTGCTGGAGGATCCTCTCTGCAGCCTCTCCAAACTCAGGTAAAACAAAACTCACTGGTCCACTTAAAACGACAGTCTGGAATTTTGGACATAGGACCTCGTTTCCTACTTATCCAGAGTGTTGGATCCATGTATCGTTGGTTCATTTGTTTTTAAAAATAAAACCTGTTTTCTCCATTATTTGTCTCCAAAACCAAAATGAAAAAAACAGATAATGATTTGTTTTTTTTTTTTCAGTTTTTGATTTAGTGATAAACGGATAACGGACGTTTCGCATTTCCGTGACTTAAACTGAGATGAGGGACTGAACCAGGACTAAAACAGGATTAAAACAGAACTAAACCAGGTCTAAACCAGGTCTAAACCAGGTTTAAACCAGGACTGAACCAGGAAATTAAATTTTTTTTTAAAAGTGTCTCCACACGTCTCCAACATTCTGGCTCACTCGGAAATGAGGTCCTATGTCCAAAATTCCAGACTGTCCCTTTAACTGGACGTTTTGAGACATCCAGAGCTTCAGTGGTGGTTAACTCACTGATAATATTTCTTAGTCATCCACATTTTCCACGAGTGATTCTGTTAAAATGTCTTTAACATTTTTTGTAATTCTTTCTAGTGTTGAAAAATGTGGAGAACCGCGAATTGGACCAGGCCCAAAGAAATGTAAGTGAATTTGTCATCACCATAATCTAACAACAATATACTAATGATCCTCAAAGTGTGGTGCAAGGACCTGGTCTGGTGGGAGACTGAGTTTCTTTATTTTAGAGTCATTGTTTGGATTAGGCCTAGTTCAGTGGTGACAGAAACGTTCTGTCTGGATTTAAAGTGGGACTAACCCTGCGCTCGTTTATCCTTCTGAATCGGTTTTCTGAGGAAGTTGCCTAGTGACACGTGTGACACGCCCCCTTTCCTGGGACGGCGCGACTCGGAACTCTGTGGCAGAAAAAGTAGACCGAGCAAGGATTCCGAGTCAGAATCCAAGAAGGCTACGCCCACTGTGAAGTGTAAATATGAAGTGTTCATTGTGTTTGGATACTTTAAAAGCTTAAATGATCATTTCAGTCACTCGTATCACTGCAAAACCTCACCGCGTCCGTGTCACTGCCTGTGGGTTTGGTAGTCGTGTTGTGCTGCGGCCAATATTGAACAAATAGGACCAGGACCGAGACTGAGACCAGGACTGAGACTATGACTGAGACCAGTTCAGTCCTGGTTCAGTCCTGGTTCAGTCCGGCATCACAGTTTAAGTCACGGAAACGGGAAACAGCCGGGTCTTTGTACCATTCGTTCTTTTGAATTTCATTTAAGAACGAAAAAACAATAAAATGAGAAAACAGTTTATTTCATTATTCTGTTTTGGTGTCAAACAAAAAAACAGATTTCGACCTGTATTTCCAATATTTAATTTAAAGTTTATTTCAAAAAAAAAAAAAAAAGGTTTTCTCTGGTTTATGTGCCCTGGAAGTTATACGGTTATCTGTTTGTTCATTTTGGTTTTGGAGACAAATAATGAAGAAAATAGTTGTTTTTACGTTTTCTTATTTTTGGTTTAATTTTGAAATAAAACACAGATTTTAAAGTCATGTTTGAATGTTGTTTCCTTGTCAGAAACACACTCAGAGTTGTGTTTTGTTTCATTCACATGTTTCAGTAACTTTTTTATTCGCAGTCTCCAAAGCTCAAAATGCTCTGTTCCACCTTGTGATGTCATGAAGTGGTAGTTTTCAAGTTAACCTTTTACCTTTTAGTTCAGTAGAGTTTGGAAATTCCAGAGCTGTTTAATGTCACACTGTGGAACATTCCGGGCAGAGCAATGATGTATGAAATGACTAACCTAAAAATAATTTATTTTCAGACGCCGTTGATCTCACTCTGGACCCAAACACCTCCCACAAAGATCTTTCTATTTCGGACCAGAACCGGAGCGCCACACGGGGCCTGAATCCCCCCAGTCCCAACACCAAAGAAAGGTTCGATTTCTGGAGTCAGGTTTTGGGCTCCCAGGGCCTGACGGGACGGTGCTACTGGGAGACGGAAGTGGAGGGCACAGCGTGTGTAGGAGTCGCCTACGAACACATGCGCCGCAAAGGAGAGGGTACGGAGAGCCGGCTGGGACAAAACGAACTGTCCTGGGGTCTCAACTGTAACAAAGACGGGTTCAAGGCGGTTCATAACGCGGTCGTGACTTCAGTACCAGTCCCACGGAATAACAAAATTGGGATTCTTGTGGATTTCTTTGGAGGAAAATTGTCCTTTTTTAGTGTCCTCGAAAGTGAACTGGTGCATATTTTTACTTTTCAGGCAAACTTTGCACACCCGGTCTATCCCGCTTTTCGTCTATGCTGGGTTGGATCCAGCATTCACTTGTGTTAAATGTTAAAGCTGCACTGCGTAACATTTCTAGTGGAGTGTCCGCTAGAGCCCTGCCCGCGGGACCCGACGCAAAACAGTGCGGCGCGGGACACATTTTGAAACCTCAGACTCCGTTGCGCAGACTGTCCCCCTTCCTGTACGTCGCAAGGACCGTTCATGAGGACTGTCCCCCCCTCCTGAACGTCGCGTGGACCGTTCCCCCTCCTGAACGTCGCGTGGACCGTCCCCCCTCCTGAACGTCGCGTGGACCGTCCCCCCTCCTGAACGTCGCGTGGACCGTCCCCCCTCCTGAACGTCGCGTGGACCGTCCCCCCTCCTGAACGTCGCGTGGACCGTCCCCCCTCCTGAACGTCGCGTGGACCGTCCCCCCTCCTGAACGTCGCGTGGACCGTCCCCCCTCCTGAACGTCGCGTGGACCGTTCCCCCTCCTGAACGTCGCGTCCTTTAAGAGCGTTTGGAAAGAGACAAGTCTTCATTTGTGCTGCTCTGGTGGGAGGGGCCACGTACAGAGACGCTGGAGACACTGCTGTGATAAACACCACAGAAAATTAACAATATTTTAATAAAAAATAGAATTAAAATATTTTAGTAGAAAATCAGCCAAGGGCCAGATTAAAGGTCTTGGAGGGCCGGATTTGGCCCCCGGGCCACATGTTTGACACCTGTGGTTTACATGTTCGAGGAAGAAATGAATAAATAAAGCTTTTAAATCGGAATAAACTACCCACTTACCTCGAAATTAAGTTTAATTTTGAATAATCATGTTCTTAAGGAATTAAGTTTAAGCAGAATTAACACATTTTTATTCAGTATTAAATGATTTTTCATTTGAAATTAAAGCTCTCATGTAAACGAGGCAAATGTTCCACAGTGCACGTTGGATCGTTGCACCCTGAACAATTTTACATCAGCAAAGCATCGTTTCGTAAAGAAAATTTGTAGAAAAAAAAAAGTTAAATTTTTTGTGAGGTTTCAGTCATTTATTTATTTATTTATTCATTTCATTCATTTATTTATTTATTTCGGTCACAGGTATATTTTGACATTAATTCATAAACAGTCATATTTAACATATACAGACCGAAAAGGTGCAGGCTGAAGCTTAAGCTTATTATGCCTTTACCCTTTATTCCTTTGTCAGAGCTAAAGTGGTGCACAATTTCAGGTTTTCTGTACAGTTGTTCCAGAGCTCCGCCCCTTTAACAGATTTACAAAATTTCATAATGTTTGTTCTGATTTTCTTTTTAATAAACATGGTCGTGCCTCTGAGCTCATATCGGCTCTTTCGGATTTTGAACATGTTCTGTAACGATTTTGACAGGAGATTGTTGTTTATCACATTTTTAAGCAAATTGTGTAAATTTGCAGGAAAACTGAATCTCTAATTTTGTTATCAAGACACAAAATTCCATCCAAAATGCAGCTACAATTTAGGAACAGGGGTCACCTTTTTTTTTTTTTTTTTTAACAGTTTACATGATTATAAAATTAATGTATAAAGTATTTTAAAGTATTTTTTGCAAAAAAAAAAAAAGTGCAAATATGGTTTCTAGGTAACAGTTATCAGAAAAAAAATATAAAGAGTAAGGCAATATTTTTTGTAAAATATTAAATCTCAAACTAATCTGTCATATGCACTTTATCGTCATTGACCACTAGAGGGCACTGCACACACACACATCGAGTCAGAGGTATTTTTGTAGATGTTTTATACTTGTTTTTTACTCAGTTTTGTTAAATTTTTGCACTGTGATTAACAAATAGTAGCTCTTTTACTTGGAACTGCCGACCTCTGTTACTCACGGGTTTGAGTTTCAGGTTATAGGCGCCATTTTGAGGACTTTTGAAGCTCTCTTTTGTGTTGGATTGTTTATTTCTATTGTAACTTTAATTAAATGTTGTATCACTCTGGAAGAAAACTGTATAACCCCAAAGCGAGTCGAGTGTTTGGAGTTTTGTACATGTCATTTTGTATGTTGTATTTATTTTATTTCTTGGCACAAGTCACAGCTCTGCAACAAAATATATGAAAGTGAAAGTAAATTAACGGTTTCTTTGATGTCTGAACAAAATGTGAAGCTAACGTAAAGCACTGCTCTGTCTGAAGCTCTGAAGAGAGACAAAATGTGTCTCATTTTTGTGTAATATAGCAGGGCCACGGACCAGAACCAGGCCATGGGCCGCGTGGTACCGCATCTCTAAACCAGAACTAAACCAGAAGTAAACCAGGACTAAATCAGGTCTAAACCAGGTCTAACCCAGGACTAAACCAGGACTAAACTAGGTCTAAACTAGGTCTAAACCAGGTCTAAACCAGATCTAAACCAGGACTAAATCAGGTCTAAACCAGGTCTAAAACAGGATTTAACCAAGTTTAAACCAGCACTAAACCAGGTCTAAACCAGGCCTAAAACCAGGACTAAACCAGGACTAAACCAGGTCTAAACCAGCACTAAACCAGGAATAAACCAGGTCTAACCCAGAACTAAACCAGGACTAAACCAGGTCTAAACCAGGACTAAACCAGGTCTAAACCAGGACTAAACCAGGTCTAAATCAGGACTAAACCAGGACTAAATCAGGACTAAATCAGGACTAAACCAGGTCTAAACCAGGACTAAACCAGGACTAAACCAGGACTAAACCAGGTCTAAATCAGGACTAAACCAGGACTAAACCAGGTCTAAATCAGGACTAAACCAGGACTAAACCAGGTCTAAATCAGGACTAAACCAGGCTTAAACCAGAACTAAACCAAGATTAAACCAGGAATGAACCAGGTCTAAACCAGGACTAAAACAGGATTTAACCAGAACTAAACCAAGACTAAACCAGGACTAAACCACGCAGCCCCTGGTCCACAAAATATTGTCTGACATAAAATTGGTCCATGGCTCTAAAAAGGTTGGGGACCACTGTAATATAGAATCATTTTTGTTTAATAAAGAACCATTTTTTGTGTAATAGACCATTTTTGTTGTTTTTGTGTAATATAAGACCATTTTTGTTTAATATAGGACCATTTTTGTGTAATACAGGACCTTTAACTTAACAAAATACAAAAACGCCAATTGATCTCATCATCAACAATCATTTATTAGCAGTCCCAAGAGGCAATAATGTAAAACCGATCAAAAAGTTTAAAGTAAGGAACAGAAATGTAAAGAAGTTACAGTCAAAACGCAAGGGTCAGTGAAGTCGGGAACAGAGGATATAACCAAACACACCACACGAACAGAGCTTCTACGGTGTTAAAAAAGGGACAAACGAGACGAAAGTGGAAATGAACAATCTCAAAATGTTGGAAAATAAACTGCGCGTGTTTGCAATCCCTCTGTTCCTTAGAAGAATTCACCAGGACCGCCAAATCAACAGCCACTCATTCACTTCAGACATATCAAAATGAATTTTTACGTCGGCGTTAACGCAGCTCTCGAGCCTTCAGGTCTTTAAAGCTTCACTATGTAACTTTTCCGGTGGAGGGTCTGTCCAGTTCTGGTCTCCATGGAGATGTAATTGCTTTTACTTGAATTTTTTTTCCCCACAGTGGCCTTTATTTTCTGATCTGTTATAATGTTTCCTCGTCGCAAACAGATCTGGAGTTGTGTTTTGTTTCATTCACACGTTCAAATTAAAACACAAACTCTGCAGATTTTAGGTTATTCTTTTTCGAAACAGAAAACGCTCTGTTCCACCTCGTGATGTCATGTCGTAATTATGGCTGGGTATCATTAAGAAGTTGCCGATGCGATACGTGCCTCGATGCAGTGCACTTTCGATTCAATTCTATACGATATTTCAAATTGATTTGATACGGTTCAATAAAAATAAAAACTAAATCATGGCTGTGATGCTAAAAGTCCATGTCTTGTGTAAAGTTAATATGAAAAAACTGACATTTTAATCATCAAAACTGTGAAAATATCAAATGTGTTGAGTTTCCTTACTCTAAACAAGCATCAAAACTGAAGCGCTGTAACAAAATAATTATAAAATAGACCCCAAAATCACTGTTGGGCAAGTTACTTTAAAACTGTAATGTGTTATTTGTTACTTATTGTTGTCGTTTCAAAGTAATTTGTTACATTACAATATTACTGTGTTTAAAATGTTAAATATTACACGACTATTGCAGCATTTTTAAGTTACTCTGATCAAAATAACTGCGAAGATGCTGAACTTTTGCGCCGTTTATGGACTGAACCAGGACTAAACCAGAACTGTCCCAGGTCTAAACCAGGTCTAAACCAGGACTAAACAAGGTCTAAACCAGGTCTAAACAAGGATTAAACCAGGTCTAAACCAGGACTAAACCAGGTCTAAACCAGGTCTAAACCAGGTCTAAACAAGGAACAAACTAGGTCTAAACCAGGACTAAACCAGGTCTAAACCAGGACTAAACAAGGACTAAACCAGGTCTAAACCAGGTCTAAACCAGGAAACCAGGTCTAAACCAGGTCTAAACCAGGTCTAAACCAGGACTAAACCAGGACTAAACCAGGTCTAAACCAGGTCTAAACCAGGACTAAACCAGGACTAAACCAGGTCTAAACCAGGTCTAAACCAGGTCTAAACCAGGTCTACACCAGGACTAAACCAGGTCTAAACCAGGACTAAACCAGGTCTAAACCAGGTCTAAACAAGGACTAAACCAGGTCTAAATCAGGTCTAAACAAGGACTAAACAAGGACTAAACCAGGTCTAAACCAGGATTAAACCGGGTCTAAACAAGGACTAAACCAGGTCTAAACCAGGATTAAACCAGGTCTAAACCAGGTCTAAACAAGGACTAAACCAGGTCTAAACCAGGATTAAACCAGGTCTAAACCAGGTCTAAACAAGGACTAAACCAGGTCTAAACCAGGATTAAACCAGGTCTAAACCAGGTCTAAACAAGGACTAAACCAGGTCTAAACCAGGTCCCCCATCTAAGGCTCGCCCTCTTTCTTATATCAGTTTCTTGCGATGCCTAAAATGAGCAGCTCTCTGGCCTTTTCTTTTTGTTTTGTGTCTCACCGGCGGAAAAAGGTTGGAGACCCCTGTTACATAGGAAGTGCTCCACTGTGTTTTTAAACTCCACACACCTTCACTAGACTCATTTGGACGATTTCAGACCTGGAATTTCCAAATCTCTACTGAACTAAAGGTAAAAGTTGGCTGAAAACTACCGCTTCGTGACATCACAAGGTGGAACAGAGCATGTTGAACTTTGGAGACGTAGAGTAATAATAATAATAAGTTATTCCAACATGTGCGAAAGAAACAAAACACAACTCCAGGTCTGTTTTTGATGAAGAAACAACATTATAACACGACTTAAAGCTCAGAAGAGGCAATTTCGTGTAATACGGGACCTTTAAAGTCGCAATCATCTCCATGGAGACAAGCAGATGGCGCTATGAGGACAAGTCACAGCTCGGATCTGCGGAGAGACGAGCCCACTGACCGTAAGAAAGCGTGTTTATAAAAGTGGGGTTTAGTAATTGGTGCCATACTGTGGAACATTACAAGCAAAGCAATAACATCTCCATGGAGACGAGCAAGCAGCAGAAAAGTTACACAGTGGGCCTTTAAAATGTGAGTTTTTGTCTAAATTCTGTACATGTTATAGTATATTTTATTTACACACTGGATTTTCAGAATAAAACCGCTGAAGTCTGATTCGCTGTCTAAAATGTGCTCACGTCTTATTTCCCGGGAAGATCGTGGACAGGAAATGGATTTATAAAGGGATTTTCAAAATAAAACATGGCGTATTTTCCAATTTTAACGTTTTGCTGTTGAGAAAGTTCAATATCGTTACACAAATGTTTTTATTATCGTCGCAGTCAAACCTAAATCTGGAGGAGCAGACAGGAGCCAGTTAAACGTAGTTAAAGCTGCACTGTGTAACTTTTTGGGGGTCTGTCAGCTGCTTGTTGCTATGGAGATGTCATTTTTCTGCCTGGAATGTTTCACAGTATGATATTAAACAGCTCTACTTTACATTTATTCAATTACAGGTGGTTTTATAGCTCAAAAATACTTAAAAAAAAAACAGGTATTCTGACTGTGTGGGGTCGCCTCTCCACAGATCTGACCTGTAACTTGATCTGGTTTGAAGATAGAAAGGTTTAATGCCATACTGTGAAACATTCCAGACAAAGCAATAACATCTCCATCAAAAAAAAGCAAACTCTCCACCGGAAAAGTTACACAATGTGCGTTGAATTAAAGAGAATTAAAAAGTCAAAACACAAAATCTACTCCTTTCCGCTTCTCCAGAGTTTAAGATCCAAACTTCAATTTCGTTCCAGAATCAGAAACGAACCAAAAAGCCCACGAAATACACCAAGATATGAAATTTAACCCAATTAGATATAGAATTTTATTTATTACAACAGTTCAAAACATTTCATAGTGGCCATAAAACCACACGGTGACATTTTCATCAGTATTTATTCTGAAGATGGAGCAATTCATTAGTTAAAGTTGCACTGTGTAGTTTTTCTGGCGAGGGTCGGTCACCTGGAAAGGCGTGGTCGTTTGCCTGAAAATGTTTTGCCGTGAAGCATTAAACCTGTCTATCTCCATGGAAACAGCCAACGTTAGAGGCCAGTTCTGTTTGAAACTGTTGCGGTTTGCCTGAAAATGTGCCGCTGTAAAGCATTAAATAACCTAATCTATTGCCATGGAAACAACCCGGCGACGCCAGAGGGTCAAGTTACAGGTCACACTTGTTTGAAACTGTTGCGCTTTGCCTGAAAATGTTCCAGAGTAAAGCATTAAACCTGTCTATCTCCATGGAAACAGCCAAGTTACAGGTCAGTTCTGTTTACAAGCGTAGTCATTTGTCTGAAAATGTTCCAGAGTAAAGCATTAAACCTGTCTATTACCATGGAAACGGCCAAGTTAAAGGCCAGCTCTGCTTACAAGGGCAGTCATTTACCTAAAAAGGTTCCAGAGTAAAGCATTAAACCTATCCATCTCCATGGAAACAGCCAAGTTACAGGCCAGCTCTGTTTGAAACTGTCGTGGTTTGCCTGAAAATGTTCCAGAGTAAAGCATTAAACCTATCTATCTCCATGGAAACAGCCAAATTACAGGTCAGTTCTGTTTACAAGCGTAGTCGTTTGTCTGAAAATGTTCCCGAGTTAAGCATTAAACCCATCTATTTCCATGGAAACAGCCAAGTTGCAAGCGTAGTCATTCGTCTGAAAATGTTCCTCAGTAAAGCATTAAATAACCTACTCTGTCTCCATGGCAACACCCCGGTGACTCCACCAGGCCAGGTCACAGGTCAGGTCTGTTTGAAACTGTCACCGTTTGCCTGAAAATGTTCCAGAGTAGAGCATCAAACCTTTCTATCTCCATGGAAACGACCCGGCGACGCCACGGGGCCAAGTCACAGGTCAGTTCTGTTTCTCAAGGGTATTTCTGAGTAATAAAAACACCAAAACATCGCTCTGAAATAAATCTACTTGACGTTATATTCTGTAATAATAATAATTCCAGACAAACCCGCAAAATCTCCCCCGGCGACAGACCACTCAGCTCACCAGAAAAGTTACACGGTGCATCTTTAAATATTCCACAAGGTAAACACATTTTCTTTTTTTTACAAGAGGAGCAGCTTGGAAAGTTTTGCTAAGGCCTTGATAGGGGGAAAAAAACCACAATAATCGCCGTTTACGCGTTGTACTTTCTATTACGATTAGTTTAATATAAAAGTTTCGTAATTATAACGTCGGTAGCGCCCCCTAACTGTCTCTCAGTGTTAATGTTATCAACAGTACACGGACTAATCCTCTTCAAAACTCCCTCATTCACTCCAAAAACGTTGCATACATAATTTTATATTTATTTACATTACTATGCCTCCAGCTAAGGCAAAGAAAAGCTTTTTAACAATTTCGTCCACGCACGCCAACACACAACCCCCCCAGCTATCCTTCACTTCGAGACAGCCGGAGATTAGTTTCATAAAGGTTTAAAAAAAAAAAAAAAAAAAAAAAAAAAAAAGGATAAAGCGCTTTCGTTCACAAAATAATAACGGTGAAAAGTGACCGAGGAGGAGGAGGGGGAGGAGGAGGAGGAGGAGAGGTGCGTGATGGGTAAAAGGGGGCGGGGCCTAGCTGAGGAGTTGTCGTATTTCCTTGTGCATGTGACAGAGGAAGTCCACGTACGAGGCTCCCCCGCTGGCGCTTTTGTCCTCCACCAGAAAATGCCGGAAAATCAGCTCCGAACGGTCCTCCTGTTTCACCACCATCAGCTGCACGACAAGACGAGAGTTAGAAATACAGACGTGAGAATTTACAGGATGTTAAAAGTTTAAATATTCAATAACGTACATGTTTTTATAATTTTTTATAATTGTCCTGTAGCCAATTTTCACTGTATATTATTTTATTTATTTAATTTCATTTATGTATTTATTTATATTTAATTTTTTTATTTATTCATTTTAAGCGTTTTAACACTTTTTAATTATGATTTACTGTCTTTTATTGTATTAATTTGCCTGTGTGCAGCTACTTATTTATTTATATTTTTATTTATTTTATTTATTCATTTTAAGCTTTTTAACACTTAATTTATTATTTTTATTTATTTTATTGTATTAATTTGTCTGTGCAGCTATTTATTTATTTATATTTTTTATTTTTATTTATTTTATTTTTTAATTTGTTCATTTTAATTATATATATATTTTTTTAACACTTTTTAATTTATTTTTTTATTTATGATTTTCTGTCTTTTATTGTATTAATTTGTCTGTGCAGCTATTTATTTATTTATATATATTTTTTATTTATTTCATTTTATTTTTATTTATTCATTTTAAGCTTTTTAACACTTTATTATTTTTATTTACAATTTACTGTCTTTTATTGTATTACTTTGTGCAGCTATTTATTTATATTTTTTATTTAGATTTATTTATTTTTTTTATGTATTCATTTTAAGCTTTTTAACACTATTATTTTTATTTATGATTTACTGTCTTTTATTGTATTAATTTGTCTGTGCAGCTATTTACTTATTTATATTTTTAATTTTTATTTATTTATTTTAATTAATTTATTTTTATGCATTCATTTTAAGCTTTTAACACTTTTTATTTATTATTTTTATTTATAATTTGCTGTCTTTTATTGCATTAATTTATCTGTGCAGCACTTTGGAAACTGTCATGTTCATAAACTGTGCTACAGCAGAGCGAGGAGCCAAGTTTTTTTCAATACAAAGTGAATTGGAGCCTTTGCGGTGGTAAGATACTGCAGCCACATCTGCCCTGGGACAGACTGAGGCCCCTTTGACCATCACCAACACCCACACAACATTAAATGAACAGTGTTTTTTGAGACATTTATGACCAAAGGTGAGAGGAGGAGGTACCTTCATGAACCGTGGGCGCTGTGCTCTGAAATCTGAAATGATTTCTCTCAGTCTCTTGGAGAAAGGGTTGTCCAGCTCCGGCAAACTCGTCTGTAACGAACAACAGGAAATCACTTTGTTGACACCTGCCACACATACAGTAACTAAAATAAAATGAGATTAACTCTTTCCCCCTGGACGCCGACTAGGAACAACCCATACATATATCACTAGGGCTGCCCATAGAGCATAACTGCATAAAAGAAAACAGACTTCCACGAGTGATTATAAATGATTTTTACACTCATGAACTTAATTGTAACACAGACATATTTGTATCTCTGGAAACCTTAGACTCTGAACTATTCATTTATGGATGTTTAAATGTGATTCAACTCATTTATAGGTGTATAACAGCTCACTGAAAATGAGAGTTTACCTGGTCAGGTGCAAAACTCGAGCATCTGATATCTGCATGTTCTGAGTACTATATTAATAAAAAAAATATATATATACTTTGTCAAAGTATTTAAACAGATTTCATTTTACCAGATACAGTATAGCCAAGTGTGCACCTGTTTTTACCTGTTGTACACCTGTGTGCACCTAATTCATTTTTTCCATTCAATTTATTCAACTCATTTAGCTTATTCAACTAATTCAGCTTATTATAATATAATAATATAATAATAAAACTCTTCCCCGTCAGTGTGTGTCCAGTATTTGTCATCTTGGTTACTTTCTCGTGTGCAGAGCTCCACATAAGCGTTTTTTCTGTAGCGATTCTGTTATACATCACATCTTGGAAAAAAAGACTGAAATATTTTAAAGGAGTAGCCAGGGCAACATCCAGATTTCAGGGCAATTTTGGTTCATAATCGAGTATAAAGCCCGGATAGTTTGTTCGGACATCGCAGGACTCCACACAGACGCATCAGCGGCATTCTCAACTTCGTAAGTTTCACTCCCCGAAAGTCTGTCGCTGTCTTCCACTTTATAATCAACTTCAACATCATCACTTTGAAATCAATAAAAGTCACTTTCTCTAAACTTATCCATAAAATACGTCCGCTCCTCATTATTTCTAAAACTGTGCGCCGCAGCGCCGCGATCTTTCCATTGCACGTGTTTTGTGTTGTGTTTTTTCCGGAAGCTACCATCGTCACTATTTCGATTAACTTCGGAAAAAAAATCGGCGAAAACATATCCTTGAATCCTATTGGTCAGTCTAGTGTGGGTTGTAGTGGCCCCCACCGATCACAGTCTGTTTAAACGTGAAAAACCGAGCCATTTCTAAAGGTCGTCAAATCACGTCTTTAGTGAAACAGCGGAGGAGTCAAAAGTCGTCATTAAGGAAACGGGGGTCGTCAAATGTCGTCTTCATGGGGGAAAGAGTTAAACTGAAGTCAGATGTACAATAAAAGGTGAAGTGCGTTATACAAGTAGAAAATAAATGAATCTAAATAAAGTGTATCTGACCAGGTTGGGGTCGATCTGGCTGAAGCTGGGCGTCCCGAACAGGTTTTGCAGCAGTTCTTGTTGGACACTCGCCCCGACCCAGAGGAAAAGGTGCAGACCCGTCTCCAGGAGGTAAACCCCGCCTTTGGACAAACGCTCCTCCGAGTCTCTGATCGCCACCGGCAACGACGAGCCCTCCAACTTTGACTGAAATGAAGGAGACGGAGAAGTGAGTGAGAGTGAGTGATAGAAAGAGAGAGAGAGAAAAGAAAATGAGATAGATCGAGAGAGAGAAATAGAAATAGAGCGAGAAACAGATAGAGACAGAAATTGGAAAAAAGAGACAGAGGTAGAAATGGAGCGAGAGAGAGGGTGATAGAGAGGGAGAGAGATCGAGAGACAGAATTAGAGCAAGAAATAGAGAAATAGAGGTAGAAAAAAAGAGAGCGAGAGAGAGAAATGTACAGAGCGAGAAAGAGAGAGGGAGAGGGAGAGAGATCGATCGAAAGAGACAGAAATAGAACGAGAAATAGAGGTAGAAACAGAGAGAGAGAGAGTGATAGAGAGGGAGCGATCAAGAGAGAGAGACAGAGATAGAAGTAGAGTGAGAAGTACAGAGAAATAGAGGTAGAAAAAAAAGAGAGAAAGAGTGAGTGACAGAGAGGGATAGAGCGATAGAAATGAACAGAGATAGAGAAAGCGAGTGAGAGAGGGAGAGAGATGGAACAATAAACAGAGAGGCAGTGATAGAGAGGGAGAGCTCGAGGGATAGATAGAGGGAGAGCGAGAGATAGAGAGGGAGAGACAGATTGAGAGAGAGAGGGGGATAGAGAGAGAGAAACAGAGATAGAAATAGAAATAGAGAGAAAGAGTGAGTGACAGAGAGTGAGAGAGATAGAGAGAGACAGAAATAGAGCAAGAAATAGACAGAGAAACAGATAGAAATAGAGAGAAAGAGGGAGTGATAAAGAGGGAGAGACAGAAATAAACAGAGCAAGAAATAGAGACATAGAAACAGAGGTACAAATAGAGTGAGTGATAGAAGGAGAGAGATGAGAGAGAAAGAGATAGAGAAATAGAAATATAATATATCTATATAGAGAGAGAACGAGTGTGTGATGAGAGGGGGGGAGAGAGAGATTTCCCTTGTGGATCAATAACTTGCTTGTTGCTATGGAGATGTCATTTTTCTAGAATGCCTAGAATGTTCCACAGTGTGACAATAAACAGCTCAACTTTACATTTATTCGATTACAGGTGGTTTTATAGCTCAAAAACACCTAGAAAAACAGGAATTCTGACACTCAGACATCACAATATAAGAGAGAGAAAAAAAATGGTAATAATAAATTCAAAATAAGTAAATCAGGTGTCTGTTTTTTTTGGTATTTTTTGTCGGTGTTGCTTTATGTTTTTGTGTTTTGTTTTATGCTGATTATTGTAATTTGTTAAATGTTGATTGTTGTGTTTTTTAATCTAATATTCTGTTGTCCTTAAATAAAAAAAGACTAAGTAAATAAGAATAAGAGTATAAATGTATATGTACAAGTCAAAATAAAATAGAAAAATAAGTAATAAAAAATAAAATCACAGCTTCATACAAGGGGGTCATAGTGTAAAGAGTTGTTGTTTTTCTTATCGTAAAGGTGCACTATGTAACTTTTTGTTGTTGTTTGTTTCTATGGAGATGTCATTGCTCTGCCTGGAATGTTCCACAGTATGACATTAAACAGCTCTACCTTACATTTATTAAATTACGGGTGGTTTTATTGCTCAAAAATACCTTAACAACAACGAAAAAAAGTGGCATTCTGAATGTGAGTGGGGTCGCCTCTCCACAGATCTGACCTGTAACTTGGTCTGGTTTGGTCTCCATGAAGATAGAAAGGTTTAATGCCATACTGTGAAACATTCCAGACAAAGCAACAACATGTCCACGGAGAAAAGCTTTTGATTCCACCAGAAAAGTTACACAATTTAAGTTTTTTTTTTTTTTTTTAGTATCAACACTTTCTTGAGAACCCTTTCCCTTTCCGTCTCTTCCGGTTCCTCACCAGGGGCAGTAGTCGAGGGTAGAAGAACACGTGCGTCTCCGACACGTCCATAGAGCTGATCAGTTGCCGTAGATACGCGCGGTCGTCAAGGGAGACGTCGGCGGCCGGCAACAAGACGTCGCTCTTCAGAACGCAGTTGAGATACACGGGCAGCAGCTTCATGCACTCAGGAAGGATCAGCTGAGGAAAGAAAGATTTACATTAGAGGCAAGGTAAAATAAATAAATAAAAATCAGCACCTGCTCGTACGACTTCACCACCGGAATGTTCCATAGTAGAGCATTTCGTATTGATTTTTTGCATTTATTCAATTTCTGGTGATTTTATAGCTCAAAAATACTTTTAAAAACATGGATTAAACAAAACAAAAAAAAAGCATAAAGTGACTGGGCTTGCCTCTCCAGAGAAACAACCTGTAATCTGGGCTGGTGTAGTGTCACCTGCTTGCTTTCACGGAGATATACAACTTTAATGCCATACTGTGGAACATTCCAGGCAAAGCAATAAGATCTCCGCACAGATGAGCAAACCGTCCAACAGCAGAGTCACATAGTTCTTAGTCCAGCTTTAAATATTTAGTACTACTATCAATTTTTGTCCTCAGATATGGCATAAACAGGTTCAAAAATTCTAATGTTTTATTAATTTATTTGATTCACAATTATAAAAAAACACGTATGTTAAAAGTTCTTTGTGGTTACATTTCGTATTTTGTCTCTCAAGTCAATTATTCAAACAGAAAGATGAATTATGTGAGTGTACGTAGTCATTTTTTTGGTAACTTTCTATTGTTTTTTTTCCTCCAGAATTCCTTCTCCGTCCCCTTTCGCATTTCAGTGATTGCCAAAGCATCTCTAGAGTTTGGAGACGTTGTTGCTTTGTCTGGAATGTTTCACAGTATGGCATTAAACCTTTATCTTCATGGAGACCAAACCAGACCAAATTTCAGGTCAGGTCTGTGGCGAGGCGACCGCGCTCACAGTCAGAATGCCGTTTTTCTAGGTATTTTTGAGCTTTCAAACCACCTCTAAATGAATAAATGTAGAAGCTAAAAGGTAGAGCTGTTTAATGTCATACTGTGGAACATTCCAGGCAGAGCAATGACATCTCCATAGAAAAAAAGCAGGTGACGGACCCCCAGTCAAAACGTTATATAGCGCACCTTTAAGAGTAGATTAAATATTTTCTTACCTGTCCGGCAGATGAGGGGCTGGCACAGTTCTTTCGGTAACAGGCCAAAATCTGAGCGCACTGGTTCACCAAAGTGTCCCTCACCGACTTCGTGGGGTTGTTTGCCACACCACGGAAAGCTAAAACAAGGCAGAGATTTCAGATATTCAGTTATATTTTTGTTGTTGAAAATCCTACTAAAACTAAATTAAAAGGTCCTACATTACAGAAAATTTACTCTTGTGACTAGGGATGGGCATGATTAGTCGAATAATCGATAATTGATTATTAAGAATTTCAACGATTACGTTAATTTTAACCGACAAACCGAATGTAGGTTGCTGTGTGTAGCGTCACCAAACAGGGGTCTGTACATGTGTCTCTCTGCACTCAGAAGGAGCGAGCAAACAGAAACAGTCGGTCATTCTACAACGTACCAAAGCACAAATGTGTATTTAACGATGATTTGTACAAGAAAATCCATGCTTTCCGTTGCGTTCGGGACAAGTGTGAGTCCATGTGCACAGTGTATAAAGCAGCACATATGTTTCAGTGTCCAGTGGGGAAAAAGTTTTGCCAGGTGAGAGTCGCGCAATGTCGATGACGAGTCCCCACCTCCCTCCCCCCGTACGGTGTCCTGGTTTTGACAAACGCAAATCTGGTCACACTAACCTGTATTCCACTGAGTCATGTCTTTTAATCCGACAGAAATTGACCGCATCAGCGACACAAGAGCTGTAGTTTTATCTTCGCTGAGTTTATGCAAATTAGCGATGTGGTTTTAAGTTTCGTTTCTGTGAGAGTTGCACAAAACTGAATTAAACACATTATAATGTCAAACGGATTGATGTGGCTCTAGAGTTGTTACAGTTTATATGTCGTAAAGTTGAATTTATTTATGCAGATTAGTAGTGCAGATAATAATAATGATGATCATTTTAATATAAAAATCTATAATCGATCGTTAATTCTTCCGACGATCGATTAAGAAAATTTCATCGAATGCCCATCCCTAGTTGTGACTTTTAAGTCATGTTATAATGTTTTTATCTTCTCAAAAACAGACCTGGAGTTGTGTTTTGTTTCAATCACACGTTTGAATAATCTTTTAATATTAGTTTGTTGAGCTCTCCAAAGCTCAAAATGCTCTGTTCCACCTTGTGATGTCATGAAGCGGTACTTTTCAAGTTAACAGCTATTTTTTTTACTTTTAGTTCAGTAGAGTTCGGGAATTCCATGGCTGAAATCATCTAAATGATTCTAGTGAAGGTGTGCGGAGTTTAAAAACACAGTGGAGCACTTCCTGTTTTACCACATGACATCACAAGATTGAACAGAGCGTTTTCAGTTTGAGAAATTGTAGGATTTGTGTGTTAAACATGTGAATAAAACAAAACAGCTCAAGTATGTTTTTGATGAGGAAACAACATTATAACATACTTGTGGATAAGACAAAAAGCGAAATATGGGCTCTTTAACAGATCTGTATAAATAAACTGGATTTGAGAGCAATAGTTAAATCTTGAGTCTCACTGTAGTGGGAACATATAAGATGGTCCTGAGATCAATTCACTAGGCCTGCATGCCTGCACGAAGTCAATATTATGCTTATACAACTCGTTATCTTTTAGTAGGGGATTGTGCCAAGGACACTGTGTTTACGAAAAACAGGGCACCCTGCCCCATTGCCAGTCTCAAAAGACTGGACATGGGACAGGAATGCGCCTCCATGTATGTGTGCGCGGTGGAGACTGGCCCTCTCTGCACGCACAGGTGCATGAAGAGAATATATAGAGGCGGAGGGAAAGCACCCACTTTAGAGTCTGCTGCGGGTTGCGTACGAACGCCCAGCCGGGTTTAAGCCACTCTGCCGTGGGTTGTTGGCTCTCCAGCCCATTGTCAACGGTGAGTTTGATTTTCTTATGTGCCAGTTTGTGTGATGATTGATGCTTAAACCCATTGATTGATTGATATGATTGTAACAATGTTGAGCGGGGAATAAACGGACATATTTATTCTAGCCTCATTGTGTGATGATTGCAATGTTGAGCGGGGAGTAACCGGACACATTTGTTCTAGCTTCATTGTAACAATTATTGAGCGGGGAATAAACAGGCACAGTTATTCTAGCTTGTTGTAACAATGTTAAGCGGGGAATAGACAGACACGTTCACTCTAGCTTCATTGTGTGCTGGCATTGATTGATGTGAAATAGTGATTGCCTGGTTGTGACTACTTCCCACGAACCTTTTAAGATATTTCACAAAACACTCACCAAACTTGGCGAAGTAGTTGATGATGGTGTCCGTTTCACAGTTGCGGTACAGGTCGGCGAGCTGAGAGCAGCAGTTCACCGCCATGTTGTGAACTCTGAGACGCCTCTGTCCACTACAGCTCGTGTACAGCACCGCACACTGAAAACACACACACACACACAGACACAATCACACACAAACAGACACAATCACACACACACAGACATACAGAAAGAGACATACAGCATTTAGACTTGCACATTTAATACATCAGATTATTAGTGCTTTCAAACAATAAAAAAAGTGAGCGACACACACTTTTGAAATGATTAATCTCAATTCACTTCTAATTCGATGCATTTTTAAAAAAAGTTTAATTATTCCACAAATAGGGGTGTGCAAAAATATCTAAATATAAATATATCATGTCAAGTACTTTTTGGAGCTACATTTGTGTTGCTTGTTTGAAGAAAGGAAACTTGTTTATATGATACATTTGGCATTTTCACAGATTTGAGTTTTTCATATTAACTTTGCACAAACTTAGTGGTTTAATAAAGACTTTTAGTATCACAGCCATAATTTAGACTTTGTTTTTTACTGAACGGTATCGAATCGATTTGAAATACATTGCATCAAATTAAAACAGAAAGTGCACTGTATCGAAAAACATTGTATTGTGGCCTATGTATCAACGTCTGTATCCTATTGGCAACTTCTTAAAGGGATAGATCAGGATTTTTAACATAAATCAGGTTTAGTGAGGTTAAAGGCCATTCATTGCCGCTTGCGGGTATAAATGGCTCTTATGGTGACAGAAGGGTTTTAAAGGGTTAAAAAATGTCCTGTGTCTTCCAGTGTTCTGCAGCAGTTTCGTGAAATATTTGGCACTGGGATTTACGTGTAAATGCTCAAATGTGCCTCATTTTGAGCTTAAAATGTTCATATTAACTCGCTCTACATGATCGTGATGTTTTTATTTTGATATTTTGCTGTAAATAAATTCGGATTCCATGGACCAGGCTCCAAATTCGCTCCCATAACTGCTGACTTCATGAGCTCTGTCAGTTTTGTTTTGACTTAGTGATTAGTATAGTGCCGATTATTCTCCCATTGCAATTTTTCTTCGGCCATATGATCTTGCCCTAATATAAAACCAACTAAACTTGAGCCAAACTGCACCTGCATGAGCGCCCCCGTGTCTTCACTGAGTTTGTCGTCGTGTTTAAACTCCACGGTGATGGCTTTGTCACAGTCCAGCCCAGCCAGCTCTACGTCTGTGGTGTTGCTCATGAAGAAAGAGCCGAAGAAGTCTGTCGCCCGGATCCCTGGACACACAACAGAAAGCGACGGTAAGAAATCAGGTCATTTAATCGAAATTTTTTTATAAGAAGAAACAGAGTCGGACCTGTGCTGGTGCGGACCCTCATCACAGCGTCAAAGCCCACCAGTTTCTGAACGTCTCGTCTGAGGTCATTCAAAAACCGCTCCTGGTCTGACTGAGCCTGAAGAGAGATCGACAGTTTTCTTTGGTCACAAGTTCATTTTCTTTATTTCTTTTTACGTTTGTTAACTCTGATATGGCACAGTACGCATTTTTTATTATAATCTGAGTGAAAATTATGGTTATTTATAGAAAAATCCAAATCAGACGACCCTAAGAGCTTGTCGATTGTTGCATCTTACCTGAAAGTATGTGTATTTGTAGACGGAGCCCCCGGTGGACACGGGCACCACTGCGAGCGTTGCCAGGTCGACGTACTGGTTTGGAAACAGGAAGAGGTCGACGCTGCAGCCCTGAGCCACACAGTCTTTGGCCAGAGAGTTATAGAAGCTGATCTGGGGCTGGAACAGGGACTGAGACAAACAAGAGACAAGTTACTATGAAGGAAAACGTTTCATTTGTAATTAGTTGCATTATTATAGATTCCCAGTGCACGTCAGTTCACTGCATGTCGTTTTAGAGACGAGTGACGAGGAGACATGATTATGATTATGTTAAAACGCTGTCTGCTCCACTCATGAGGGACATAGCGCTGGTGGACTCAGCTCCATGGGCAGAGCACAGGCGACTGAGGCCTGAGCCAGACTTCAGGTGGTTTTATACATTCTGCTCAGAGACGTGTAAACATGAACTGCTTCTTAGTTAAACAGAAAAATAACACCGGGTGTGCACGTGAAGCCTCATTAAAATGCAAAACGCGTATTCCCGTTTCTGAGGCGGATGAAAGAAGAAATTATCAAAAGTAAAACAAACAAAAATGATAAAATGAATAAAATTAACGCAGTTTTCATACATGAGGTGCAACGGATTATAAGGCACATTAAGCGAAACAAAAGGATGACACTTGAGACTGATCCTTAGTCCAGGCGTCCACGATCCATTGGCAGATCGTGGTGTAATTCGCCCGGCGTTTCCTCCCTGTCTTGGTGAATGTGGATTATGAATGTGAATGTGGGTGGATAATTTAAGTTGTTTTTTTTTTATTTCCTATGAAAAAATGTGTTTAATGCAGCTTTGTGCACATTTGTTTACATTTTACACAAACAAAACTTAAAACCACATGGCTCATTTGCATAAACTATAAGCGCTGAAAAAAACTGCTTGCTCCTTGTGCCCTGATGCGGTTCACCTTCTGTCGGACACATGGACATGACTCAGTGGAACCAGATTATAAGGCACAATGTCGATTTTTGAGAAAATTAAAAGGATTTTAAGTGCACCTTATAGTCTGAAAAATATGGTATGTTAAAACGCTGTCTGCTCTGCTCATGTGGGATGTAGCGCTGGTGGACTCAGCTCCATGGGCACAGCACAGGTGACCAAGGGCTGAGCCAGACTTCAGGTGGTTATAGTCTGTGGTTTTAGTGCTGAGGCTCTGACTGGAGGAACCTGTTAGTGACACGGCTCTTCTTAAATAGACGGAGGCACCTCTCATCCACAGACTGCTTATAAGAGTGGACAAAGCCGCTGCATGCCAAATAGGAAGTGCGCCAGGAGGCTCTTTCGGCTCCTTCTGACCCTGGCTCCAATTGACTTACATTGGGATCTTTTTTTGCTATTTTGTCCATCAAAAAAATCCAATTCATAATATAGAGGCTGGCTCCAGATTCACTCCTGTAACCGTGAGCATCACAAGCCTCATTTGAGCGACACTGAACACTACGGGTGACGTCACACTTGCTTAGTCCACTTTTTTTTATATAGTCTATGCTCTCACCACTGTCTTCAGATACATAATCCCAGTGTTTCCGCAACTCAGAGCCGTGTAAACAAGAACTGTTCCATAGTTAAATAATAAAATAATGCCGGGTGTGTGCGCGGAGGAGCCTCATTAAAATGCAAAATGCTCATTACAGTTACCCAGGCAGACCGGTTCTAAACAAGAAATTATCAAAAGGAAAACAAACAAAAATGATGAATGAAATTAGGCAAACCTATTAACTGTCGAGCTGTCCAAGTACAACCAGAAGGAGCTCGTGTACGCACCACAGTTAGAGAAACACTGGTCTTAAATGTTATACTGTTACATCTTAATGAGTAGTAATAAATATATGTGATATAAATCTGTCTAAACACAGATTATTCCCACACCTTTTCCTTGTCCGTTCCCACTAACTTCTTGTCCTCTCGGTTTTTCAGTTTTCCTGGAGCCTCGGCGATCGGTAGAGACGTGTGAAAGATGAACAGTTTTCCGGCGCAGTCTGCAGCCTGAGGACCAGACAGAGACTCGAGTTAGATTATATGTTAAATTTATGTTAAATTTCAAGTTCACAATTAAATACATGGCTTTCAAATTTGTCTATAATTTATACAGGAATATCTTTAGCTGTGTTTATATTTCCACACACATTAGATCTAAACCTGGTCTAAACTAGGACTAAACCAGGACTAGACCAGGTCCAGCAGAGGATCAAACAAGGTCTATATCATGACTAAACCGGAGCTAAATTTCTAGTAGTACAGTCATAATGGTGAGTAAATATTGTGATAATAATTTGAATATCTAGTTACTGTTTATGGTTTATGAGAGTTTAGTCGAGTTACCTTGAGCGCCTCGAGTCCCGCCTGAATGACCGGTCCAAACACGGTCTCTGTTTCTCTCGTGTCGGCGAACATTTCTGGAATCTGGTCCAACAAACTGAAACAAACAAAATATATAAATAATAAGTAGTCTAATAATCTTGGGTGACCATCTTAAATTGTAGAAAAAGAGGGATGAAATTGTCAAATGTGATGTGAAATTTAAGACGATATATCAAAATAGAGTATCAGCACTGGAAAAAGAAATCAAGAAAAGTCAAATATTGTCCAGTTTATATGAACAGTGTTAAAATTACATAGTATTTAGCGTTGAAAATTGGATTCCACTGTCTGAAAAAGTGTAAGCAAGTATGAGTTTTTATTATCTTTGAGGTATCAAAAGGCTCAATTTCTGTGCAGGACGACCAAAAGTGGGAGCTTTTAAAGGTGCATTGTGTAACTTTTCTGGTGGAGGGTCCGCCAAATGCTTTTCTCCATGGAGATGTTATTGCGTTGTATGGAATGTTTCACAGTGTGGCAGTAAACATTTCTAACTTCAGGGAGACTAAACCAGACGAAGTTACAGGTCAGATCTGTGGAGAGGCGACCCAGCTCACAGTCAGAATACTGTATTTTTTGGACTATAAGGCGCAATATCAATAATGTTGAATTCTTTCGTCTATTTTCATACATAAAGAGCATTAAGCTAAACAAACAGACGACACTTGAGACTGATCCCTGAGTCCAGGCGTCCACGATCCATTGGCAGATCGTGTCGTAATTCGCCCGGCGTTGCCTCCCTGTCTTGATGAATGTGTTTTATGAATGTGAATGTGAGTGGATAATTTAAGTTTGTTTTTTTATTTCCTACAAGGAGGACTCAAATATACACTGAATAATAATGTGTTTAATGCAGTCTTGTGCACATTTGTTTACGTTTTAGAGAAACAAAACTTAAAACCACATGGCTTATTTGCATAAAGTAAAAGTGCGGTGCAGCTTCGTAGCTTACAAAAGTCATACTAAAACATTTTGACAGACTTTTGAGCGCCGTGTACCACATAAAATCGGTTCGAGGTCAATAAACACAACCAGAATTAATACATAAGGTGCACTGTCGATTTTTGAGAAAATTAAAAGGATTTTAAGTGTGCCTTATAGTCCGAAAAATACGGTATCAGTTTTTTTTTGTAGGTATTTTTGAGCAATAAAACCACCTGTAATTGAATAAATGTAAAGTAGAGCTGTTTAAAGTCATACTGTGGAACATTCCAGGCAGAGTAATGACATAGAAACAAGCAGGAGATGGACTCCCAACTGAAAAATTACACGCTGCATTGCACAACTTTTCTGGTGGATCTGTCACCTGCTTGTCTCCATGGAGATATTATTGCTTTGTCTAGAATGTTCCACATTCGAGATTAAACCTGTCTACCTTAAGGGAGACAACTATAAGCTACATTACAAGTCAGATCTGTGGAGAGACATAATTATTGTATTTTTGAGCAATTAAAACATCTGTAATGAATAAATGCTTGATAGATGTGTTTAATGTCATACTACGGAACATTTCAGACAAAACAATAACATCTCCGTGGAGGCAAGCAGGCGACAGACCACCCACCAGAAAAGTTACACAGTGCACCTTTAAGATAAAACAGTTTCAATGTAATCTTGACAGTAGTTACCTCTCGATGACTTGTCTGCTCTCGTTCACGTTGACGAGGAAACCGTCGAGCAGAGGCACAAACATGTCCGCCACGTCCGACACCACCAGCATCTGCGGCTGGGCCAGACTCGCCTTCACATTGTAAAAGTGCATCACTTTGTTGTAGGTGACAAACCCCACGCGCACCACAGACTCCACCTCCGGGTTCTCCCTACGAACACAGAAAACAGAGAATTTAACAACACTTTGAAAAGAACAGTGTCTCAAATCAGCACCATGTGGATTTAAAGCATCGGGGGGCTTCTATATGTATGTTTGTGGCGGAATGTTCAGCAGTTACCATGGTGATGCACTACACACGTAAGCAAACACTGCCAAAAAAGTTTCTAAATAGCTTTAAACTCTGCAATAACTTAAAATCTATTGTCTAATGCCAACTAGTTTGTGACTGTAATTTGAGATGGACTTGTTTAACAGCACAAATCAGTAAATTCTTTAAAATACAGGCTTTGTAATTAATCTATTTCAGTTAATCACAAAACAATATTTGCTCCAAAAGCAACATTTATTTTATGTAAATGAATTTTAGTCAACTAATTTTCATCCTGAGGCCCGTCATTTGTTCGAGTCTGTACTCTCTTGTTTGTACTTGGACCAGAACTGCTCCCACCAAGAGATTTTTTTGGGGTCGCCTTGTCAAGCTCTAAATGTAGGTCTGAAATATACAGTTCTGACACATGAGGGAGCTAGTGAGTCAGCGAATCCTATTCCAATATTGCTGGTTCAATTGAATGTTGAAAAGAAAAATGAAATGGGCTACGTTTAATGTTTAAAACTTGAGTCATACTAATTGTTTAGACAGACAGGATCACTCAAACAATAAAATATCCTCATTAATGTTCAATACTGGTCAAATCCACCTTTATTTTGTGATTTAAGAATGATGTCTTTTAACTTAAAATATGGGTTCCGAGAAAAAAAGTTTTAACACTGATTTAAAGGACATATTAGGCTAATTAGAGACCAAAAACAAACTCATTCTCACTATATTGTTACAGACCTGCACATAATACAAGCCAATAAAACTACTGGCTTGAATAAAAAATAAAACTATTAAATTATCTATTATATATTACACCATTTCTGATCTTATAATGTCGTTTCCTCATCACAAACAGACCTGGAGTTGTGTTTTGTTTAATTCACACACGTTGAACACACAAAACCTGCGTATTTAGGCTGAGTTCTTCTCTCAAACTGAAAACACTCAACTATGTTTTTAAACTCTGTACACCTTCACTAGAATCATTTAGATAATTTCAGCTCAGAACTGCCAATCTCTGCTTAATTAAAAGAAAAAAGTTTTGGACATGTAGACAGACTAATAATAGTTACTCAAACATGTGTGAAGGAAACAAAACAAAACTCCAGGTGTGTTTATGAGGAAGTAACAATTTTGTGTAATGTAGGCCCTTTAAATAAACAGTGTTTTGTGATTTGTTTTCATGAGAACCTGTTTGAAAACGCCCCAAAATGGACCCTGTTTCGGACTCTCTTGTTGTTGTTTTTACCTGGGCAAATAATCCAGCAGAGTCTTGAGCTCCTGACACACCATGCTGACCAGACCACTCTTCACCGCGTTGTACGAAACGTCGATGAGGAAGATGAAGGCAGGAGGCTGAGGAAGCTTATTGTTCTGTGGGAAAAAAGTTTAAACATTTAGGGTTTAAAAACAATAGTAAACCTGATGCCCTGTTGGAGAGTTTTATATGTAAATCTCACCGTACAATACAATTACAATATTAATTTCACGATGCCATATTTCCTGCAATATTGTGGCGATGGTAACAGAATCAAAGAAATTATACTTTTCCTTTTAAAAAGCTTTGACCTGGCCTGTATTAGTGTCATAGTCTAAAGAATAAAGAAAGAAAAGTTGTTTGTAACAGTTATTTCATCGTGTTTTCCACATTGAGAAGGAACAAAAGGTCATGGTCTGTGTATTTTCCTCAATTTTTTTAGCTGCTGCTGCAATGAAACAATCCATTTTTGATATTATTGTGAGAATTTTGCCGATGTTATGATATTTCAGTTATTGTTCCCTCGTAGTTTGACTTGGGTATTTTGAATCAGAAGTTGTGGACTGAACTGATTTAAATCGTCTGTACCTTACAGTAGTCGACAGTGGCCAGAAACTCGTAGCTGCCCAGAGACAGCTCGGGTCGGTCGTAGCAGTCCATTCTTTTCCCAGTGTGATCCAGATGCTGGAAATAATGTGGAGGCACTACAGGGGCAAAAACATGAAATATAAGCAATTACAAGAAAAAACTATATCACGCTTCATTTCAGAATGGTGATTTTAGTTTTAATTACTATAAAAGTTGTTGTTTTTATGTAGTAAAGTTAAAATTGGTCATGCCCCATTATCAATGTATTGTAAAAGTAGCTCTTAGTGTCAAAACAAGACAGCTGTGTGGTGTCTGTATCCAATTTTAAAGCATTTTCATTGTCCGTGAACCTGGAAGTAAGGCAAGTGCTATGTTGGCATGTTAACTGTTGTTGTTGTTAGCATTACTGTGATGACAAAACTCCACTCTGGTCTCTGAAAGTTGTGAAAAACACATGTATAAACTGAGTGGTTTGTTCAGCAGTTACCATGGTGACGCAATACACACATAAGCAAACACTGGCAAAAAAGTTTCTAAATAGTTTTAAACTCTGTAATAACTGAAAGACTGTTACTGTAATATTATTTGAGAGGGGCTTGTTTAACAGCACAAATCAGCTCCAGTTTCCAGTTCTAGTAAATTCTTTATTGTCAGATTATATTAAAAATTAAAGGCTTTGTAATAGGGCTGTTGCGATAACCGTAAAAATGAATCACCGCGGTACCAAGAGGCCCACCGTGGTGGATGTTGGGCCACCGTGATCAACACACTTGACCCGAGCCAGAGTCCTGCATGGGTCCATTTTTAGAGACCCGCACCGGCTCTCTCTCTTAAGTCCACGGGTAACCGACCTGACTCTGACCTGAGCTGCCACAGTGAGAGCTGGAGAGATGCAGTGGCACTTGTTCCAAAGCCAAATGATACTTCTCCCACACTGCACACGCTATAGCCGCATGACAACCAAGGTACATGTGCATCTGCGCAACCAGCGCATCATCGGATGTGTTGAGCTGCTAAACCGCACCGCAGGAGAAATTCCCTAACTGCGACAGCCCTATTCTGTAATTAATTGATCTCAATTAATTGCATAACACAATTTGCTCCTAAGGCAACATTTATTTTATGTAAATGAATTTTAGTGGACTCATTTTCTTCCTGAAGCCCATCATTTGTTTGAGTTTGTACTCTCTTGTTTGCACTCGGACCAGAACTGCTCCTGCCAACAGCTCCAGCAGTTTCTGTGCTCGCTGTCACATGTTTTGCATTTAAAATTTGTTGTAGGGTTAAGGTGCTTCTGTGATATGCAAACTCTTTTCTGCACAGTTTGTAATAAACAACTCCTTTGTCCATACTTCCATAGGGTCGTTTTCTGAACAGAAATGTACCGTCCAGCTGACCCAGAGCGCTTTCATGCTCCGTTGTTGTAGTCGGAAATGTGTGCGTCAGTATAATTGGTGTACCACGACATGATGCACTGACAAACCTCCGTGTTGTTTACAAAAAAAACTGCTAAAATTTAAAGTCTAATTTGAGCAACTGAGTTTTAGACAGAGTAATGCCTACAGTTAGCATCACATCCCCAGAGAATTTTGATAACAGATCGTCCTTTGACCCGTGTGCGCTCACCCTCTGTGACACAGCTACAGAAGCCACACTGGAACCTCCTCCCTCCCTCGATGAACTGCATGTACGGGCACATGTAGGCCTTACAGCGATTACAGCGGATCGGACCAGACTCCCCATGGTCCACCACGTACGGAGGCGTCTGCAAGAAGAAAGAAACATTATAATATTAGAAACAACTCGTAACAAAGACATCTATAAGACTCACTGCCTGACCAACCAGCCCCTTGTACAGTCTTGTACAGTCTGTTCAGATTCAAAATGGTCTGGAATTGGACCATCGAGCATGAAAAAACTTGAAACGATCCAACCACATGTCTCTCAAATGCGGAAGACATCTCCTCTTCAAAATTCCAGTCATTCAGAACAATATATAACTTCTTTTAAATGAGATAAGTAATAAAACATGCGCTGTTTCTCAGTCATTTGCTGTTTTTTCCTAATTTTTTTTTACACGTAAGAACCATACGTCTCTCTGATTGGTTAATCCACCTGTCAATCACAACCTCTGATTTAAGTTTGTTAAAATACAGGTGAGTTTGAAGCTCAAAAATACCTAAAAAAAACCCAAGCATTCTGACTGTGAGCGGGGTCGCCTCTCCACAGATCAGACCTGTAACTTGGTCTGGTTTGATCTCCATGAAAAAAGAAAGGTTTGTAACACCATAATGGGAAACATTTGAGACAAAGCAATAACATAGCCACAGAAAAGAGCATTTGCAGACCAGAAAAGATACACAATGCACCTTTAAATGTACAGAATATATATATATTTTTTTTCAAATGTCTGGGATTTAAAGTGATTATAACAGCGACCCCCTCCTCCACGCTCTTTCTCTCTCTCTCTCGAATATAAATCCAGACAGATGAGAGAGTCACGTCATGGATTAAGATTAGTGACGCTCCAGCTGCAGGTTTCACTGTTACACAATCAAACGCTGCATAACCTGCCCCACATTTAAACCGGGCATAAAACCGATTCAGCCTCTTCAGCCGTTTCCATAAATGTGGACGTTTGCACAAATTTAAACAGCTTTTTAATAATGAGGTCTAAAGCAACTTGCAGAATCACAGGCTGAAGAAACCTAGCATTTTGATGAGTAATGCAGTAAATCTATTTTTTCTTCCTGTATTTACACATTACAGTCACAATAATTATCGAGTTACTGAATCCTGCTGACAAACAATGGCATTAAAATTATTCTTATATAGGTAGTTAAAGCTTGTGTAGTGTTGTGAGCTTCCCTTCAAGCTTTTGTGCAATGCAGGATATCGATATCTGATATATTTGGTTTAATGTTGAGGCTGATAATCGATATTTAGCTTTTAAAATCTATAGCAAGACCCCAAAAATGTATCTTAAAAGGTGCTATATTACACAAAATTGAGTCGTGTGAACTTTTAGTCATGTTATAATGTTGTTACCTCATTAAAAAAATATGTGGAGTTGTGCTCAGGTTCATTCACATGTCTGATTTTCCTTTATTATTATTTGTCTGTCTACATCCAGAGCTCAAAATGCTCTGTTCCACCTTGTGATGTCATGTAGTGGTAGTTCTCTAGTTTTCCGATTGAGGGGAGAACTCAGTCTGAATATGCAGGGTTTGTGTTAAACATGTGTGAATGAAACAAAACTGAAACTGTTTGTGATGAGGAAACAACACTGTAACATAGATCAGAAAATAGAGCAGTGTTTTCGTGTATTTCTCCTGGACACTGACCTCGTCCGGGGGCAGGGTGGCGAGGGGTTTGATGACCGCGGCGAGAGGCACCTGAGACTGTTTGGCCATGTCTGCGGTACAGGGCATGTTATAGGCCGTGCAGCGGATGAAGCGAGGGCTGGCGTTCCCTAAAACATACAAAAATACAATCAATAACATCGAAACAAATCAAAAATCATGATCGGTCACTGTAAGGAAAAAGATGTAATCATTTTATTATCATATTGTCATTCAATAGTCAATATGTCATAGATTCTTCAAACATATAAGCAGTTTGTTATGAATTTGTGTGTGCAATATACCGCATAGGCCCATAATTATACATGTAAACTTGAAAAATAGATATATAAAAAACATCAGGCCTGAGTGACAGAACTGAAACTACTACACTACACACAGTCACGAGGATCTATAATTATGTTTAAAACGCTGTCTGCTGCACTTTGGCCCTTTGCGGTGTGACTGCGCATACACGGTATTGTAATACTGAGGTTACCGTGACAGCTACAGGATTTTCACTGGTCACTTAATTTAGCAAATGATGCCCTCTGCTGAAAAGAAAGTGAACAAGATTGAAAAGGCAAAAAGCCGCATGGTTCATTAGCATCATCAAGGTGAGAAGAATTGTGTGACTGAAAAAATAATATAGTACAATATAGTTAATAGTTGTATATACCGTATTTTTTAGACTACATGTTGCACTTTTTTTCATGGTTTAGGTGATCCTGTGACTTACTATATATTAAAATTTTCACACTGACAGGGGTGAGAGGGCGCTCTAGGCTTGTGTGTCAATATCCTGTTCCTCCTGTACCACTGTCACTTGGCTCTACTGCGTATGTCTCCTGCAGAAAGAGCCTCTGTCCTGTCTGTACCATGTCAGTCGATCAAACCATTACTTCTTTACCACTGAAAATTTTACATTTAAACAAACTTATAAAGATTGAGAAGACTGGACACAAATGCTCTTAAAAAGAAAACCATATTTTGCAGATTACAAACTGCAGGTAGTGAAATAAGTAGTAGAAAACAGTAATCGAGCAGCAGAAAGAAAGTTTGGAGTGAGTGAGAAACTTGTGACACCAGGAGGATGCACCATGAAACTTTCCTGGAGTCACTGGATGGATGGACAAAGCCTGAACTTCAGTGACACCAAAACCATCCTGTTGGGATTCAGAAAGGCCGGAATAATTCTAACTGGAACTGATGCTGAGTCTGACGACAGCGACACAGAAGAGGAAGTGGCGCTCTGTTTACCTCCGGAGGTAATGGAGTTGCTCAGAAGTGACACAGAGGATGAAGAATTGAATGGATTTAGTGATTTGGAGTGAGAGAGTTTGTTTGTTAAACTTGTTCTGTTCTGTTGTTTATGTTATAGTTTATCTGAAGAACTGTTCATATGTGACGTTAACAGTCTGTTGTTCTCTGTTCTGTTGTTTTTACTAGAACTTGACTTTCAAGATGAAAGGTCTCTGATTTTAAAAAATAAATTTCTCCCCAAAAAGTGCGACTTCTTGTTTTTTTGATGTTTTTTTTTTTTTCTTCTTCGTTATGCATTTTTGGCTGGTGCGACTTACACTCCATCTGGAGCGAAAAATACGGTAGTTGAATTTATTCATAATCATCTCACCTTGATCCCGAACTTGGAAATCTGTAGTGACGAGGGGCGGGGCTTGACCTCTGACCCCTGTAGTGAACGGCTCTGTGCTCTTGGCCTTGTCGTCCTCAATCACCTGGATCTAAAACAGGAATCAAACGCATTATTATCATGATCAATACATGACATTACCAACAGAGTCCGGAGTAAATACAGACTTATGTAAAACTCAGTTAACTATAAAACAGTAACGGCACACGCATGCAGGAGACACACACACACACGTGAACCTGGAAAGAGTGGACATTTGTGATGACGTGTGCAAAAAATAAAAACAAACAGAACTACGGCAGTCCCCAGAAACAGACAGGACGCATGCAGGGAGAGAGTCATAAAAACTCCACCGACACTGATGGATTTACTGAGAAATATCACATGTAATGGCTTTTTGTAACAGCTGGTGAAGGGTTATTTGCTTGTCTCCATGGAGATGTGACAACTTTGCCTGAAATGTTCCCCTTAATTGCATTTTAAAAAATCTAAATAAGGGCAAGAAGATGATACGACCAAGCCAATGTTCAAGTCAGATCTGTGGAGAGGCTACCCCGCTCACTGGAAGCAGGACTGCATGTTGTACACGTTTTTGTTTTTTTTTTTTTTTAGCAATAAAACACCTGTAACTGGATAAATAAGAATAAATCCAGTTAATGCCATACTGTGTAACATTCTAGACAAAGCAATAACATCTCCATAAAGACAAGCAGGTGGTGGAACCCCTATAAAAGTTACATAATGTACCTTTAATGTATAAGAAATGATCAAATGGACTAATAATATAATAAGCAATCACAGGCAAAAACATTTTATATCCTTTTTTACCAAAAATTTTATTATGGACGGTATATATTAAATTTAAACAATTAATTTATGTGAAGCAACCATGAATATGTATAAAGTAAAGGTATAATGAAGTCTTAAGTCAATAAATTAAACAAAATATACACTATAGATGAATTTCTCTAATAATGACAAACAAAAATACGATACTGTTTATTTTTTCTTTTGCTGTCAGATCAGATAAGGACGACTGAGGGATTACACAGACATCCTCTAACAACGTTTTCGACGAATTTGCCAGTGCTTCCTTAGGACTTTATGAAAAGATAGTTGACAAATGAAGGCAAAAAAATAAAACTACAGACCCACAAACCACCATCAAACAAACCAAAAACCCCAAAAAATCACTTCAATTCTCTGCTATGTGACAGTGAGAGCATGCAGTCTGACGTTAATATGACAGGGTTAGGCAAGAGGGGTGAGGAGGGGCATGGACTGTATATATAAATGGACATAGCGCTCCAAATAGGAAGTGAGCATGGGCGCACTTCTGGCTCCATCAACTCTGGCTCCAGTTCACTTTCTATTGAAAAAACGTCACCCTGCTCTCCGTAACTGGTGCTGTCAGGCTTGTCATTTTGGTCTTAAAATGTTTGTATTAATGAGCAAAACATGACCCCAGTGTTTTTATTTCACTATTTTGTCCGTGAATTAAGGTATGAACATTAATAGCAGATAAATCAGGCACCTTCTTTCGCTGAGGTCGCCCGCCCGCTAGAGTTACGCTTGATTGACAGCGGTGCAAGTGAGAAGGGGCATTAGCTTCAACAGCCTCTCTCTGTAAACGAGCTTCATTCCGCACTCTTCTCTGTAATTTAATGTCTTTCTCCCTTTTTAATTTTATGATTATTTATGTTTTGATCTGTTTTTTATTGTGATTTTAATGTATTTTAATTACCTTGTGCACGAATTGTGAAATACAAATAAACTTGCCTCACCTAAATTTGCCTTTAAAGGTGCATTGTGTAACTTTCGGGTTGTGGGTGTGCCACCTGCTTGTCTCCGTGGGGTAGGGGTGTCCAAAAATATCACTATATCGATATATTGTATCGTTTAATGTGATGATACAGTAATCAATATCATGGGCTGCTGTATCGATATATCACCAAGAGTGCTTTTTTGGTATATTTTACTAAATTATTTTGTTACAGAGCTACAGTTTTGTTGCTTGTTTAGTGGAAGGAAACTCATTTGATATTTTCACTGTTTTGATTATTAAAATGTTTTCATATGAACTTTGCACAAGACGTGGTTTAACAAAGACTTTTAGAATCACAGACATGATTTATTCTTTATTTTTATTGAACCGTATTGAACTGATTTGAAATATATTGTATCAAAAGCTCACTGTATCGAGGCATGTATTGTATCGGCAACTTCTTAATGATACCGACACAAAGACTTTTAGTATCAAAGCCATGTTTTAGCTTTTTTTCTTTTTATTGAACATCGAATCGAATTGAAATATATCGAAATATATCGAAACGAAAGTGCACTGTATCGAGGTATGTATCGCAGTGGCAATTTCTTAATGATACCCAGCCCTACTGTGGAGAGGGCGTTACTTTGTCTGAAATGTTTCACAGTGTGGCATTAAACTTATAAATCATTCAGTTGTGTGTTGTTTTTTTTTTGTAGTCAGCAGACCATCCTCTAAACAGACCTGACGGGTATCTCAGCCTGATGACATCTCCTGGAGCTAGTCAAGTTTAATGCCATACTGTGAAACATTTCAAGCAAGGAAATCATCACGGAGACAAACTGTGGACAGACCCTCCACCAGAAAAGTTACACGGCGCTATAACTGGAGCCGAATACGTGCAGTCCACTTTTTTATAAAGTCCATGGGTATGGGTATTGGGAGGGGTGGGGACAGGTGAGGACAGGTGAGGACAGGTGAGGACAGGTGCAGAGGAAGGAGAGGCAGCACACAGAACACTTACTGGGCTGGGGATAGCATCTGGGTCTATTCTATGTCGTGATTTCTGAACAGCGGGCAGGTCAGACGCTTGCTTTACATTCAAAAGATTGTCCAGCAAAATTGTGCACAAAATAAAACGACAAATACAAAGAAAGACGAAAGATAAAGAGAAGTGTGAGAAGAGGTTTCAGTAAGAGTTCATCGAGCAGCAGGCAGCAATTAAGTTATTAGAGTAATTAGGAGTCGGATTAATTCGTGAATTTTGTGAAGATTAGCAGTAGCATAAGCCTGCTCATTGCACATGCTCAGAAGCTCATTATAAATCAGCGGTAAAGATAAATAAATAGAAAATCGGTAGAATAATAAAATTTTTTATGTAGATTTAATGTGTGGTTATACAGTATGTGTGGATAAATTTTTTAAATAAAAGCGTAGAGAAAAATTAAAAGTATGTAATTAATAAAAAAAAGAAACTATTATGTAAAAAACAACAAAATATTCACTAGATTTTTTGTATCTCAATTGCAAAATATAAAAAGAAAACCCTACAAAAATAAGACGTGTGAATAGTGCTCGGGATGGCACGTCAAAAAATGCCTGTTACCATGGAAACCCGCAGTGAAATTTGTGTCAGTCGTGTAAAACTGGGTGGAAAACTTAAAAAAACTTCTTTTCACTTTTGGTAAATACATCTATCACGCTGTACTGTGTCAGATATTATGATCAAACATGTGAATGAATGCCAAGGCTGGTATTTTTATAGTCTTAAAATCTCAATTGGTTTACCATAACTGAAAATTCATCACAATTCTGAGCTCTACACCATTAAATGTTCTCAAAGGGACAATTAAAGGGCCCATATTATGCTATTTTCTCATGTTATAATGTTGTTTCCTCATCACAAACAGACCTGGAGTTGTGTTTTGTTTCATTCAAACATGTTTAGGACATAAACCTGCACATTTAGGATGAGTTCTCTAAAACTGAAAACACTCTGTTCCAAAAAGTGCTCCACTGTGTTTTAAACTCAATAAATCTACAGACTTGGAATTACCAATCTCTGTTAAACAAAAGGTAAAAAAGTAGTTGTTAACTTGAAAACTACCGCTTCATGACATCACAAGGTGGAAAAGAGCGTTTTGAGCTTTGGAGATGTAAAAGTTTTTCCTCCAGTGAGCTACTTTCACAAAACGAAAATGCCAGAGAGCTACTAGTTTTAGTGGTCACAGGAAAATTGAGCAAGTAGAAGTGTCATGGCCTTAGATGAGGAACAGTTAAATGCCTATAAAACATAAACCTTTATAAATGTATTAGTGTACAAAGCAGTTAGGCATCAAAACGATACATGAACTATGGTAAAAGGTATTTAATTAATCCAGTTTTACTCAAACATGTGTGAATGAAACAAAACACAACTCCAGATCTGTTTTTGACGAGGTAACAGCATTATAACAAGGCTTACAGCTCATAAAGGTAAATGTTGCATAATATAGGACCTTTAAAAAATAATGAAATACAAATTGAAGAGCTAATTTGGACAGTTTGCATTTCTTTGTGTTTTTTCTCACCGGACTGGGGATGGCGTCAGGGTCCAGTCTCTTCTGAGGCGCAGGACCCGGGGCGGGGGCGGGGCCTCCGAAGTTCTGTTGCCCGGGATACGGGCCTGCATAGCCAGGCTGAGGACCTCTCACCTGCCCATAGGCTCCTGGAGGAACATGGGAACAATGCATTAATAAAGTCCATATTCATAGGTTCCAAATTAACTGGCAAATGATTCTTTTCTGATTTTCACAATTCTAAGGGGACGTTCACCCATTCAAAAGTTTAAAAATCGCTCAATTGCTATGACAATGGAGTACTATAGTTCCAGTGTTTATGAAAAGAGGCATCTGCATTTTAAAGGGTCCATATCTCGGAACCATCGTTTTCATGGAGATCGTTAAGTTTAATCACACAATTGCCACATTTATATGAAAGCTTTAATTCCGAATAAAAATGATTTAATTATGAATAAAAATTAATGCAGCTTTAAAAAGACCATGTAAACGCTTAATTCCTAATAAAAATTATTATTCGGAATTAAAATAAATTCTGATGGATTTGTAAGGATGGAGGTAGAGCAGCCGTTGACTCAGTTTGTCTTCTTCCTCCTTCTCCAACACTCTTCCCTTCTCCTCCTCAGCCAACAGACGTAAAGCGTGATGAGAGAATTCTCCGGCCGCTGCTCCATTATCTTTGGAACGACTGCTTAAAAGTTTGGATCGTGTTTGTGTCCGTGGCGTAACGACAAACCGAGATGACAAAAAAGCCGGTACGGGTCTTCCGGTCGATGTAAATAAGTTCGTGTCCTTGTCCAATCAGAACCTTCCCCACTCCCAGACGTTGAGCAGAATTAAATAAAGGTAATTTAATGTGTTTTCCGTGTAAACGATCAAACAAATCAATTTGGAATTATTATTTGCATGTAAACGCGAAGGAGAATATTTTAATTTCGAACTATTTAATTCAGAAAAATTCATTCGAAATTAAAAACCATCATGTAAACGTGGCCAGTGTGAAACATTCCAAGCAAAGAAAACCACCAGAAAAGTTAGAAAGCGAATCTTTAAACAGGCACTAAAATGAATTCAGACTAGATAAACGTCCTCTTACCGTTCTGCTGCGGCGGGTACCCGGGGGGCATGCCAGGCTGAGGTGGAGGCTGCTGCATGGGTCCAGCGGGTCCCATGGGCGGAGGTCCCTGTGGCGACGGGGGCATGTGGTTGCTGTGTTGCTGCATCGACGTCGGGGGCATTTGGGGTCTGAGAGGGGGCGGACCTGAGTGGTAGGGGGAAGGCTGATTTTGGGATTGTGGAGGAGGCGGAGCTTGTCCCTGTGACGGCGGCGGCATCGGCCCGGAGAGGAACTGTCCCGACGGGGTGGAGGTCGGAGGAAACGCCCCCGGTTGAGACGTGGGAGGCGGGGCTGTGGGCGGGAATGAACCTTGGCTGGGTGGAGGCGGGAGGGGGGACTGCCCCGGGGCGTAGCCAGGCTGAGGCATCGGCGCCGGGGCGGAGGAGGAGGCGGCGGAGAAGGGCGGTAGCTGGTGCTGCGATGGGGGCGGCTGCTGCGGCGGGAAACGCGACTGCGATGCTTGCGACACCGGCGGAGGCGCGGTCTGAGCGGGTCCCGTGGGTCCTGTGGGTCCCGAATACGACGACGGGGGGTAGTTCTGGGGCATTGACGGGGGTGGCTGCGGAGAGGGCGAAGTGTAATGCGGCTGGGACGATGGCGGCGGTTGCAAGGGCGAGGCGGAGGTGTACTGAGATGGGGGCGGGGCTTGTTGGGACAGGGGAGGAGAGGTGAACTGCGGCTGGGACGTGGGGGGCATCGACGGGGGGTATTGTTGAGATGGTTGTGGTGGTCCCCCGTAGTATTGCTGGTGCTGTGTTGACGGCGGGGCGGTAGACGGCGGGGCGTTGGAGGGAGGAGGCGGGGCTTGTGTCGGGGTGGTGGTTGCAGGGGGAGGGGCTTGGGAGAAAGAGGGCGGAGCTTGGGAGAAACTAGGCGGGGGTGCAGAGTAAGGCGCGCTCACTGGTGGAGGGGCGCTGTGAGGGGGAGGAGCTGAGGACAGAGAAGAGAAGAAAAGGTTATTAATGATAAATGATCATTCTGAAACTAGTTTACACCAACGACTATAGATGGGCATTCGATTAAATTTTCTTAATTGATCATCAGGAGAATCAACAATCATACACGTTTTTAAATTAAAATATCATCATTATTATTACTATTATTAATATGCATAAATAAACTCAACTTTACAACATATAAACCAGAACCACTATAGAACCACATAAGCCTGTTTGACATTATAATATGTTTAATGCAGCTTTGACATTTTTGTTTACGTTTTATAGAAACAAAACTTAAAACCATAACCATTTTTTCAGTGTGCACAAACTAAAAACGAAAAAACCAAACAAAAAACAGCTCTTTCCTCGTGCTGCTGATGTGGTTCAGTTTCTGTCGGACTAAAGGACACGACTCAGTGGAATATGAGTGTTCTTTCTGTGACAGAGGGATGTTGATGTTGATGATGGTGAGTGTGTTCTGTGTGTTTGTGTGTCGTGTTGGAGATGGTTCATGTTTTCAGAGATCGACGTGTGCAGGTTTAGTGCAGCTCTTTATTTAACATCATTTCACTTTATTTATTTTGGCTTCTGTTGTGATGAAAAGACTGGAAAGTGTTTGTCTTTTGGACGCATGTGCACTCAACTTGTGTTGAGGGGGATACTGGGATACTGATGTGCAAGTGACTTCCAAGGAGGAGCCAGAGCCCAAACATGTCCCACGTGTGAGGTTGCAACTCCAGTGTTTGTGTCAGAGGCAGCCTCATCTCTTTACGCTACGCACAGCAACCTACATTCAGTTTGTCGTTTAAAAATGAACGTGAAAATTCTTAATGATCAATTATCGATTAATCAACTAATCACACCCATCCCTATCGTGGAAACAATAAACCTAAAGAAGGTGAAGCTAACTGAAAGCACAAGACTGAAAGCAAATTAGACTTTAATCTGAGCTTTATTTTAAAACAATCTGACCTGAAATAGCCGACTAGGTGAGATGATTTGTGCTCACAAAATTACAGTCACAAACTAACTAGCATTAGTAGTAAAATATACCAAAAAATACTCTTGGTGATATATGAACATACCACATTATCATCACATTAAACAATATTTTATATTTATATTTTGATATTTTTGCACACCCCCAAGGTACAGTATTAATATTCTGCAAATTATGTAAAGAAATGTTAAAGGTGCACTGTGTAACTTTTCTAGTGGAGGGTTCTTTAAATGCTTTTCTTCATGGAGATGTTATTGCTTTGTCTGGAATGTGTCACAATGTGGTATTAAACCTTTCTATCTTCACGGAGACCAAACCAGACTAAGTTACAGGTCAGATCTGTGGAGAGGCGACCCCGCTACAGTCAGAATACCTGTTTTTCCAGGTATTTTTGAGCTCAAAAACCACCTGTAATTGAATGAATGCAAGGTAAAGCCATTTAATGTCATACTGTGGAACATTCCAGGCAGAGCAAAGCCTATGACAGACCCTCCACCCGAAAAGTTACACAGTGCACCTTTAAAATGTTAGGGGAAAAAAAAAAGTAAATACTCTCAGACCAACTATTTGCAAATCTCTCACCACTATCGGTAAACCAGGACATAACAAAGTGCACTGGCTTTCATTTACCAAAAATTATGCAAAACTAGAGACCCAAGGTACAAGTAAAACAACACACGTGTGATTTGAATACTGTTCAACCAGAAAAGCCGGGAGTATAAGAGGATTTGCATTTTGTACCATGTAACTTTAATTTTCTTACGCTGCTTTGCCTACACACTCTCACTGTAGTTCAGCTCGTGTGTAATCCAAGTATAACTGATATTAATAGCCACATACGAGTAGTTAAGGTCACGCCAGGTGATGCAATCTAGAAATCTCTACTTCTTAATTTGAGTCCTGTGTTATTTTAAAATGTTAAAATTAATTGACAGTTCATTTTTAAAAATGGCACATATTCCACTGTCTATGATAAAATGGTGTTTCCTCATCACAAACAGACCTGGAGTCGTGTTTTGTTTCATTCACACACAAGTTTAAACACACATATCCTGCATATTTAGGCTGAGTTCTTCCTTCAAACTGAAAACACAACACGTTCCACCTTGTGATGTCATGTTGTGGTACAGGAAGAGCTCCACTGTGTTTCTAAAACTCCATACACCTTCACTAGAATCATATGAGCCCTGGAATTTTCACTCTTTACTGAACTAAAGGTAAAAAGAGCTGTTAACTTGAAAAATAAGGGCAGTAGCTCAGTTGGTAGAGCATTCGCCTACTAATCTGAAGGTTGGCGGTTCGATTCCAGCTCTCAACATAAACATCACAGGTTGAGCGGTCAGATCCACTGACCCACAGGTTGGCTGGTGTGATTCCAGCTCCCACAGATGAATGCTGTCGTTGTGTCCTTGGGCAAGACACTTAACCCACCTTGCCCACAGTGTCTGTGTACACTGGTGTGAATGGGTGAGTGGTTCCTTGTTGTAAAGCGCTTTGAGCACCTTGAAGGTGGAAAAGCGCTATAGAAAAATGTGACCATTTACCAAAAATACGACTGCATAATGTCAAAATGTGGAGCAGAGAATGTTGAGCATTGAAAATGGAGATAAAGAACCCTTTATTATTAATCTAATATGTGTGAATGAAACAAAACACAACTCTATGCATGTATTTCAGGAGTTTACAACATTATAACATGGCTTCAACCTCAGAAGAGTCAATTTTGTGTACTGTATTTTTCAGACTTTAAAAAGGTGCACTTAAAATCCTTAAATTTTCTCAAAATCGACAGTGCGCCTTATAATCCAGTGCGCCTAATTCTGGTTGTGCTTACTGACCTCGAACCGATTTTATGTGGTACACGGCACTCAAAAATCTGTCAAAATGTTTTAGTACGACTTTTGTAAACTACGAAGCCACACCACCTGATGGATTGTCGGAGCATTACAGCTACTGTAGTCAGGAGCCTCGCGGAGTCGTGTCCTTTAGTCCGACAGAAGCTGAACCGCATCAGCGCACAAGGAATGAGCTGTTTTTTTCAGCACTTATAGTTTATGCAAATTAGCCATGTGGCTTTAAGTTTCATTTCTGCAAAACGTGCACAAAGCTGCATTAAATACATTATGTACTCAATGAGTCGTCCTCGTAGGGAAAAGAAAACCCAAACTTAAATTATCCACCCACATTCACATTCACAATACACATTCACCAAGACAGAGGCAACGCCGGGCGAATTACACCACAATCTGCCAATGGATCGTGGACGTCTGGGCTAAGGGATCAGTGTTTTGCTTAATGTGCCTTATAAATGAGTGCGCCTTATAGTCCGAAAAACACGATAATAATTTTAATTTCAGTTGGTCATCTGTTTATGAAGTCAAATCTAAATGCAATCCATGTTTTATTTTTAAATAACGAGCAAACTAACTGAACTGAAATGAAAAACTGAGTTAAAAACCCACCATATCCCGGGCCGGCAGGGGTGGGGGGTCCCGCATTGATCTGCATCCCTCCCATCTGCCCGGTGACCTGCTGCATTGTGGGAGGAGGGCCGTAGTGTGGCGGGTATGAAGGCTGAGGGGGACCTGTCAGGTTCACAGCCCCCTGGTGGTAAGGCTGAGACACTGGAGGCCTAAAACAACAGAGAAAAAATAATAAGTATGATAAGAAGACAATTTTAAGGCAGTGGTCATTATATAAAAACTAAAATGTGATATTTGATGACCTTTTGAGCATTGCTTTCAATATTTTGCAACATTTTAAAGGCACAGCATGTAATTTTATGCCAAAAAAGAGACAATAAATAAATGATAAGTGTGATTTTTTATTATGAATATTTTTTATGCACTGAAAAACCTGCATCCTTAATGTCTGTGAGCATGCATCTCCATAAATCTGACTCTTATTTAGCCTGGAGGACGGTCTACTCCTGCTTGTTTCCATGGAAATGACGGCCTTTGGGTATAATATTCCACAGTATAAAAATTATGTATCCCTAATGAAGACTTGAGGTTTTATGGTTTTAACTTTGTTTCCGTGGAAGTATGCAGTTGACGTGAAAGTTACAGAAAGTTAATTATCATTTTAATAAACAAAAAATTGTAGATGCAAGCTTCAAATAAGCAAAAAAAAATAAAGATCCACACTGCAGTTCACTGAAATAAAAATTTGGGAAGCTTCAATGACACCACAATGTGACATTTGGGGGTTTGTTTTTATCATTGTGGTGTCATTGAAATAAAAATTCGTGAGCTTCAAAAAACTGCAGTCTGGATCTCTTTCTTCTTTTGCACAATTTTTGTCTGTAGACCAACACACAGTCGCAATTTTTGTCTCCATTTACCAGTACAAGTTCAAATAAGCAGAAATAATGCTTGTATTTGTCAAATATAGTCACAATATTTACACTAAAATAGGACCAAAATTTGACTTAAGTGGTCCTCCATCTGCTTGTTCCCGTGAAAGTGTTATCGTTTTGCCTTGAATGTTGTTTAAAGAATTAATCCAAACATCGTGGAGACAAGCAGGCCAAGTTATAGGTCAGATCTGTGGAGAGTCGTACACACTGATTCTTGAATATGTGCAAAATCTATAATATTTAATGCAATACTGTGAAACAATTCAGGGAAAAGAATAAAAGTACAAAATTTATAAAGTGTACATCAGATTATATGCATCAAATTAACTTTAAAGACTTTGAAATAAAAAAAATTACCTGATTTTACCAGAGAAATTTGACTATATAACTTTAAAAATGCCACAGCTGTGATTTTTTTTTTTTTAACAGAAGTGGGCGTGTGATATTACGTTAGTTTGATCGTGTTTATCGGGTGTGGTTCTCTCACCTCGGCGGGGCTTGGGTCATGGGCGGGGGTCCGTTCTGGATGCTGCCCTGTGATTGGCTGTACTGGTTATAGGCCTGAGGAGCAGAGACTGGAGGGGGGGCGGAGGTGGGAGGACCTCTGGAGGGGCCTGAGGAAAAGAAAAGAACAAACCTATAATTTACGAACAAAGCGAGAAGTAATAAGGTCAATTTGAAAATAAAAAATAACAATAACACTTGAGAGAACAGTAAAATATGACTGAAATATGGTAAACGAATCCCACAGTCCAAGAATATGTTTTTAAAAGTCAAAACTACAAGTATGAATCAATTTTTCTTCTATAAAACTGATTTTCGATTCAATTACATTCTCGATATATTGTGCAGCCGCAGCAAGTCCTGGTTTAGGTCCTTTTTTAGGTCCTACTTTGGTCACGGTTTCTAGTCTTGATGAAGACTTTGTTTAGTCCAGGTCCAGGTAATACAACTTGTCTCAATTTAGTCTTGGTTTCAGTCCCCGGTTCAGTCCCCGGTTCAGTCCCCGGTTCAGTCCCCGGTTCAGTCCCCGGTTCAGTCCCCGGTTCAGTCCCCGGTTCAGTCCCCGGTTTAGTCCCAGGTTTAGTCCCAGTTCAGTCGTGATTCAGTCCTGGTTTAGTCCCAGGTTTAGTCCCGATTCAGTCGTGATTCAGTCACCGGTTTAGTCCCAGGTTTAGTCCCAGGTTTAGTCCCAGGTTTAGTCCCAGGTTTAGTCCCAGGTTTAGTCCCAGGTTTCAGTCCCAGGTTTCAGTCATGGTTGAGTTCCAGGTTTCGTCCTGGTTTAATCCCCGGTTTAGTCCCAGTTCAGTAATGGTTCAGTCCCGATTTAGTCCCCGGTTTAGTCCAGGTTTAGTCCCAGTTCGGTCACGGTTCAGTCCCGGTTTAGTGCGTTGTGTTGGGCAAGATTAATCATAAAATTTGCGACGAGTAAACTATTAAAACATTATATTTAAACACTATTAAAACAATTATATTTTTGGTAATGGTTTGTGGACTTTAAACACATAAGAAAATATATTTTATAACAACGAAAGCTGAATTATTAAATCAAAATGTCAAAAAATAAACAATAAACATTTAATTCATACATTTTTTTTTTAAAAAAAATCTATTTTCAACCTTTAATTGGTTAAAAATGTATTTAAAATCTCAAAATACACTAGAAATAATAGTTTCACTTGTCAACTATTATTGTAATATACTAATAACTGTTAGCTGTGAATGAACCTTAAAGGTGCAGTATGTAACTTTTTGGTTGGGGGTTTCTATGGAGATGTCATTGCTGTCCCTAGAATGTTCCACAGTATGACATTAAACGGCTCTATTCAGTTACAGGTGGTTTTATAGCTCAAAAATATCTGGAAAAACAGGCATTCTGATTGAGCGGGGTCGCCTCTCCACTGATCTGACCTGTGATCCGGCCTGATTTGGTCTCCATGTAGACAGAAAATGTTTAATGCCATACTGTGAAACATTCCAGACAAAGCAATAACACCTCTTGAAACTCAAAAGTGATGTCCAAAAAAGGTTTATAATTTAATCAATGCAAACTGTCTTTTCTGTGTGTTTTTTGGTTCAGAGAGTTCAAATGTTGTAACACACTTTCTCCATTCATGAGCTTAAGATACAGGTTGCTCGACTTTTTTCTATCTCTGGAGAATCTGTGTAAAGGCGTGGATAATGTGACCTAAAACATGGCTCGACTTGCCCCTTTTCAACACCGGGGAAATCTGTTCTAGGAGACATTATACTAAGACGTACTGTTCTACAACGACACCTGGTATGATCGATTAAAAGGTCCTATAGTAAATGGATTCTCAGAACGTAAAATGTTGTTTCCTCATCAAAAACATTCCCAGAGTTGTGTTTTGTTTCATTCACACAGTTTAAGTTAGTTTCTAGAGCCCTGCATTTGATAGAACTTAAGAAAGTGAACGTCCCCATCTTGCGGGATTTGCAGGCAGGAGCGGGAATGAAAATTACAATTGTTTGCAGGCGCGGGCTAGCCTGATTGATCAACCGGTTTCACTTTGTGGAAACTGTCGGACCTCGCAGCATTAGGATTCGTTCCCTCGCTGCTATTTGGTCATGATGTATGTAAAGTGCCAAATCCCGTAGGAAGAAGGGCAATAACGTCTTTCCCCTTGATAAAATTCGCCAAATTTTCGCTTTGTTCCGGCTTTAAATCCTCGATCTTGGGAATCGTTGCCAACACAGAATGTCTGTCTTCGTCTACATCCATCTCGACGCTTTGTTTACTGTTGTGCTGTACCAGAAAAGGGACCCAGCGCTTGAGTTTGACGTCATGGCTTCACAGCTCTTCGTTGATTGGCCGGTGTGCAGTCTACAACTTCCGGGGTTCTTGCAAAACCGTCTAGTGTATTCTGATTCCTGACCTAGTCGCTGGAAAGAAATGAAATTGAGCAGAGGCACTAGGTGGCGCCAGACCTCTATTAGTGGCTATCTTTTACCTTTAGTTCAGTAGAGATTGGCAATTCCCGGGCTAAAATCATCCAAATGATTCTAGTGAAGGTGTATGGAGTTTAAAAACACAGTGGAGCACTTCCTGTATGACTAATGAGATCACAAGCTGGAACAAGGCGGAGTGTTTTCTGTTTGACCTCAGCCTAAATATGCAGGATTTGCGTGTTAAACATGTGTGAATGGAAAAAAAAAAAAACACAACTCAAGGTCTGTTTGTGATGAAGAAACATCACAGCGTAGATTAGAAAATAGCGTAACATGGGCCCTTTAACGCTAAAATCTGTGTAACAAACTCAACCAGTATCCGATAACATTCAGTGTTAGTGAAAGTAGGAGTCAGCGTAGTTAAGTAGAACAGAAAACACAGAAATGATGAAATGATTTAATGAGAGAGTGAGTGAGAGAGCGAAAGAGAGGAGACAGTTACCCAAGTCAAGAGGAGAGGAGAGGTCAGAGACTGGATTGGCAGCCACAGCTTTAGAGGGAAAACTGGAGAAAGGAGAGTAACCTGCAATAGAAGAAAAAAAAAGAGAGGAAAAATACAAAGACGTGAAAGAGGAGCTGAGTTTATTATTAAAAGGAGCACTGCGCAACCTTTCTGCCGGAGTGCTCTAACCTGCTCGTCTCCCTCGTGATGCAGAGGGTTTAATCTATTCCGTGGAACATTCAAGAAAAAGAGCAATAACATCTCCCTGGAGACAAGCAGGTGGAGGACCCTCGGCTACAAATGTTACGCAGTGCGCCTTTAAGAAGTGAGTGTTACATTATTTAGTATGCGGAGGCAGTTTACAGACACAAGAGGCTGGTATAGGACAGTTCAAGGTGAAGGAAGGAGGGATGCTGAAGCGAGGGCGATAGAGCTTTTTCACGACGACCGCAAGTGTCCCGCTGTAGGTTTACGGACAGTTTTGGGAAGGTTACTTTTAAAATGTATTCCCCTACAGATTACATATCCCAAAATGTAGTTTGTAACGGAATCCATTAAGGTACTTAAAGTGAGTAACGTAATCTGAATACTTTGGATTACTTGATTTGCTGTAGAGAAGCAAAGATGAGGATATTTTTGTCTGCTTAAAGACAATAAAAAGCCCAGACTTTCCTTAACCATATTAAAAAATATTATTGATAGAAGAGGAGGAGACACGGTCCGTGCTGCATGGTTTAGTCTTGTTAAATCCTGTTTTAGTCCTGGTTTAGACCTGTTTTAGTCCTGGTTTTAGTCTTTTAGTCTGGTTTAGTCTTGGTTTAGTCTTGGTTTAGTCTTGGTTTAGTCTTGGTTTAGTCCTGGTTTAGTCCTGGTTTAGTCCTGGTTTAGTCCTGGTTTAGTCCTGGTTTAGTCCTGGTTTAGTCCTGTTAAATCCAGTTTTTAGACCTGGTTTAGACCTGGTTTAGGCCTGGTTTAGGCCTGGTTTTAGTCCTGGTTTAGACCTGGTTTAGACCTGGTTTAGACCTGGTTTAGACCTGGTTTTAGTCCTGTTAAATCCTGTTTTAGACCTGGTTTAGACCTGGTTTTAGGCCTGGTTTTAGTCCTGGTTTAGACCTGGTTTAGACATGGTTTAGAGTCCTGTTAAATCCTGTTTTAGACCTGGTTTTAGTCCTGGATTAGTCCTGTTAAATCCTGGTTTAGACCTGGTTTAGACCTTGTTTTACACCTGGTTTAGTGTCCGGCAATGAGTTGAATTACAGAAAAAAAAAAAAAAAAGCCCAAAATGTAAAAACAGGAAAATACCGCCATGTAATCCATTTATTTTACCAAAGTAACTGTAATCCAATTACCACTCACTGAAACAGTAACTGTAACTGAATACAGTTACTCATAATTTGTACTCTGATTACGCAACTCTGGTACATGTAATCTGTTACTCCCCAACACTGTTTACGGAACATGCGGTTAATGCTTTTCTACGGCAAAATGTCTGTGGAAATGTCTCGAGTATTCTCCACCAGCTTCATAAATCTGCCCCATCACCAAATCTTCAACCAACAAGGTCGACGAAGGATAAACATTCGTCCATGAAGAATTTATCCACAAATTTCAAGGTAAGAAAAATGATAACTTAAAAGCAAACAACGACGACGCATTAGTGAACTACTTTAACTATTTGAACTGCACAAATCTCCCTCTCTATGCTAATATCAACATAATGAAATAGATTTTTAATTTTAATTCTAGAATCAGTCTTAGTGAACAAGTTACTTATGTTTTATTCATGACCATAACGTTAGTTTTGCTCAGTAGTTCACTAATGCGTCGTTGTCGTTCGTCTTTAACTTTTCGTCTTTCTTACCTTGATAGTTGTGGATAAATTCTTCATGGACAGAATATGTTCTTTGTCCACTTTGTTGGTTGAAGATTTATGAAGCTGGTGGAAAATACGCGAGACATTTCCACAGATATTTTGCCAAAGAAAAGCATTAACCGGAAGTTCTGCAAACCTACAGCGCGTCACTATACTAATAAAACTGATCGTGTTTTCATTTTTATCCGCAGCAGTTTGTGTGTTAGTATAGCTTCATGTGATCCAGGGGTCTCCAACATTTTTCCTCCGGTGAGCTACTTTTACCAAACGAAAATGCCTGAGAGCTACTAGTTTTAGCGGCCACAAGAAATTTAGTATCTACAGTATAAGAGCCAGGGTGAGCTTGAGAGGAATTACAGTTAAATGCCTATAAAACATAAACCCTTATCCACTTATTCGTGTACAAATTTTTGCGTCAAAGTTATAAATGTACAATGGTAATAGACATTTCATTAATCAAATTTTACATATTCATCGCAATACATGAAATTCTTGGGCGAGCAACTTGGAAGGGGGCGGAGAGCTACACGATGGAGATCCCTGCCACAGACTGTATAGGCGAGTTTCATTGTTGACAAAAGCGCGCGTTGCATGCTGGGAATTATTTTGGTCGGCGGCAAGAAACACTAATTCAACATGACGGACGGAGCGAGAAAGCACGTAAAGGGTATTGATCCCGGTTATTTATCCACTCTAACGGCAGAGGACCCAAGACCATTTGACCAGAAATTGGTCATAAGCATCGATGGACGACAAATCACCCTTTTCAACCCCTACAGAGCCTGGATCAAACCAAATTTCTGGTCGGAATCGCCAACTACCTGGCCAAATATTCACTTCTTTGATATCCACAATGACTTGGTGGAAACTCCTGGGCCATTCACAGCAGAAAAGATGAAAACCTCCAAGAGTCTCGATGTGTTGTTGAACTTGTTGGAGTCCACGGTTTGTTAGGATCTTCTACGTTTGCTCTGCGGATGTTTGAAAGTCGTTTAATTCACCGTTAGCGGTTCTTTTCACTCAGAATACGAAAAAGACATTTTCCTTCTTCCGTGCTTCTATTTGTGCATCCGATAATGCAGCAGGAATTTACCATTATCGGGGATAAATACGCGAGGTTACGCATTGTGTTTGACCGCTACCGTGTTTCTTGCCTCTGACCAAAATATTTCCCAGCATGCAACGCGGGCTTTACAATGACGTCAGCTGAAACTTGCCTTTATAAAAACGGACATAGCTAACCCGCCAGCCACCACGTTCCAAACAGGAAATGAGCATGGGCCCACTTCTGGCTCCATCGACTGTTTCCAATTCACTTTACATAGAAAAATTGTGACCCCTCTCTCTGTAACTGCTGTTGTGAGCCTCAATTTGGTTGTAAAATATTCGTATTAACCCGCTCTACATGATCCTGGTGTTTTTATTTCGTTATTTTGTCCTGGAACTGGCTGCAACTTCACTCCTATAACCGCCAGCCTCGTTGAGCTTCATTTGACTGGAGCTGAACACTAATGATGACGTCACACTCCTTTGTTCCACTTCTTTATACAGTCTGTGGATAAGTCTAAATTGGCTATAGTTAAACAATGAGCTGGACGACAGGTCAGTTTCTGTTGTACACTTTGTCAGATTTCAGTTTGTTGACCTGGTTTATGGTTCATATCTCTGTAATTACTGGGACTATCCAAACGAAACAAAAACTGGGGCACGTTCAGTGTTGTCAGTCTGTTTTCTGTAAGCAAAAATGAACTACAGGGAAATAGTGGTCACAGCAGCTTCAGAAGTGGTTCCATTATTCAACATTATTGTCGACTGAAAGGAGTTTAAACCTTGAGATTAATATGGCGAGTTTGTGGAGACAATCCCTCACAAATAATACAACCATTATTACATGACTGAAAGGGTTTACTAAAGGAGGGTATGAGCCATTCTCTCTATTATTCTTATTCTTATTCTTATTCTTATTATTATTATTAGGGTCAGTCCGATATTATTGACTGATATGGGCACTTGGAGACATTTAGGCTATTGACCTAAATCTATACCTCATTATAAAGCTTAGACTCTATATCAGTGTTTCCAAAACTTTTTTTCCTGTGGACCCATATTTTAAAACAGTGGTCCCCATTGAGAGGTGGGACTGCGTATGGGAGGAGGTGCGGTGGGCGGTCCGGCGGAATGGTTAAGTCTTGGCTAAATCCTGTTTTAGTCCTGTTTTAGTTCTGGTTTTAGACATGTTTTAGACCTTGTTTTTAGACCTGTTTTAGTCTTGCTTTAGTCCTTGTTTAGACCTGTTTTAGTCCTAGTTTTAGACCTGTTTTTAGACCTGGTTTAGACCTATTTTAGTCCTATATTATTCATGGTTTTAGACCTGTTTTAGACCACTTCTTACACCAGTTTTTAGATCTGTTTTTAGTCCTGGTTATGTCCTGGTTTTGTCCTGGTTTAGTCCTGGTTTTAGACCTGGTTTAGACCTGTTTTTAGACCTGGTTTAGTGGCGCAGCCCGCGTGGCGTACTGGATGGGGGACAGTCTGCGTGATGTATGGGAGGGGGGACGGTTGGACGGTCCATGAGGAGTAGGGGTTTGCACTTTCCTGGCCCGGTACCAGTCCCCAGCGACATTTGGATTTGACAATTACTGAACGTTAATGAGGATATTTTATTGTTGACTGAGTGATCGTGTCTCTCTGAACAATTCATATTTTTTTAGTTTTAAGTTTTAATTTTAAACAATAAAAACAGTAATTGAACTAGCATTAAAAGGGATCCGTAAGTAGACATCTGGCCCATTTCTTTTTCTTTTCAACATTCAATTGAACCAGCAATATTGGAACAAAATAGTCAATAAATAATTACAAAAAGATTAGAAATGATACAAAACATGTCTTAATATTTCAACATTTCTAATGAGGTAGGTGGACCCGTCTGTGTTTTTGTAGCGTGTTTCAGTCTGGGTGCAGGAGAAGACGCAGCAGCAGCAGATCAGGCGCAGCATTCAGTCTGTTTCTGTGCTTTGTCTTCATTTTTGTGAGCACAGAAAATCTCACGTGTCATAACTGTATATAGCAGACCTACATGCAGATCGTGAAAAAAATCTCCTGCGACCCACCTGAGGGTTGCGATCCAGTTTTTGGGAAACAATGCTCTATATTGTGTCCATTTAATCGTATTTACAGACAGATAAATGTTCTAATATGTGGCGTTGGATCAGTATTTATCAGAGGAGTAATTTGTCTGTGTCTGCGACGCCGTACTGCACCTGAACGCACCCCCAGAGTCACTCCAAGTTTACACCAGAGTGCTCTCAACATCGCTCTGCCTTTAAATGCTCTCGTGTCTGATCTAAAATCCAGCAAAACTTAGTCCAGCAATAAAACTACTGCTCGTTTTTATGAAAGAGCATGAAAATTTTATGCGTTTTATGAACAGTTTGGGGGTTTCATCATCTCTAAGCCATATTCGCACAATTTTCAAGAAACAAAACTTCAGTCTTTGTGTCACAAGTCAATATAATATATGGGTTTGACTTTCTAAAATACTGAACTTTTTGTTTGTTTTTTACCTTGTGGTGGAGCTCCAGGTTGGTAGGCGGAGGCTGGGCCGTTGTAGGGAGCGTAGGGCGCGTGGTACCCCCCATCGAGAGGGCCGTACCCGGGCTGAGGGTACCCGGGCTGGGGCTGGCCGTACGGAGACGCCATCGGAGTGTGCTGGTTTACATTCATCCTCAGTTCATCCCTAAATCTGCACAACAAAAACACAAGATGGTATTAGATCAAAATAAAATACCTGTTATGATGTTGCTGCAGAGAAATAGAACAATAATACTGAAACAAATTTATATCACTGACACAAAAATAATGAAGCAAGATAGTTCAAGTAAACATTTTTTTAGACAGTTTCAACAAATAAATAATAGAACGAACCAAAAATCTGCCATAAAAGTTATTTATTCAACCCTCTAGAGCTCAAACCTTATCATATTATACCTAAAATAACAAAAATCTCCCCACTATTCCAAAGAAAATGTGCATAAGATCAATAATGAGCACCAAAATATACTGTATCATCTGTCATATTGAACAATAAGTTGATATATTAATTATACGTGTATATCGCTTCACTGAGGGTTTAAGTCTCTCAGCACTGCACTCTTTATGGTTTAGTTGGCTGGACTTCGCCAACAATTCGCAGAAAACAACATTGGTTAATATTTATTTACAAAGCCATACTGAGGAACCTTCCCGGGTACCTCAGTAATCTCTAAGACTTCACTTGTCTGTAATACAATTTCGTAGAGATTAGGGCTGATTAAGAAGATTGCCAGTACGATACATAGGCCACGATACGATACATATCAAGATACAGTGAGCGTTCAATTTGGTACAATATATTTCAAATCGATTTGATACGGTTCAATAAAAAATAAAAGCTAAATCACGGCTGTGATACTAAAAGTCTTTATTAAACCACTTTTTGTGCAAAGTGAATATAAAACACAAATATTTTAATCATCAAAACTGTGAAAATGTCAAATGTCGCATAAACGAGACAAAACTGTAACAAAACCACTAAGTAAAATATACCAAAAAATACAGACGATATATCAATACAACAGCCCACGATATCGATACTGCATTATCACATTAAAGATACGATATATTGATATTTAATTTTTTTTGCACACCCCTACTAGAGATGCATTGATCCAGCTTTTTCAGTGCCGATACCAATTTCAATACTAAAGTTTTGAGTATCTGCTGATTAGGGCCCGACCGATATGGATTTTGTTGTGGCCGATATGAAACAGATAAAATGGGAGTTGGAGCTGCCGATATAATCACCGATATATTTAGTGATGTAAAAATTCACTGTAAATCTTGAATTGTTTAAAAAACTTAGGTTTGGCTCTGGAGGATTTTAAATTGGGTTTATTTAGGCAACATTTATTGTTATTCTGCCTCTTTATGTCATATTTACAGACAGTAGGTCGGCCGAACGGCATTTTTGCGTCATATTCTAGCAGCTAGCGATTGGTATTCCAGTTCTTTTTAGAGAACCGGCCTTTTTTGGCTCGGCTCACTAAAAGCAGCTGGCTCCTTCGGCTCCCAAGCGGCTCTTCAGATTGTTTTGTTGCAAGCAGGACTAAAGCAGGACTAAAGCAGGACTAAAGCAGGTCTAAAGCAGGTCTAAAGCAGGTCTAAAGCGGGTCTAAAGCAGGTCTAAAGCAGGTCTAAAGCGGGTCTAAAGCGGGTCTAAAGCAGGTCTAAAGCAGGTCTAAACCAGAACTGAACCAGGACTAACTGCAGAACAACTTTGTGTAAATAAAAGTTCTAAACATTATGAGACTTTCTGAAACATCTACGACCAGGAAATACTCGTCGTCTTTTTACATCAGTTGTATGCACTATACAGTCAGGCCCCTAAAGACACTTCGTTAGCGTTAGAGGGACCTTGAGCGCCAGAAACCTTGCAGCTGTTTTACATTTTATCTTTATCTTTTACCCAACTCAGCAAATTCAAGTTACACCGCAGCGCTATGGAAAACTCACAAGTGTAAAAGTAAGTGAGTAGTGAAACTGATCAAATTAACTTGGCTTTTACACCTAACACCTTTATGTCTGGACTCAAAACAAGATGAGTTGCCCTCACTCAGTCTCCACCGGTATCCATGGCAATTAACAAATCAAAACAATATATTATTTTAACAAACAAAAGGACTAAATACAGATTGAATATAGTTCTACATGATTAAAGACAATACTACAAGCAAACTACCATTTCTTGAGAATGTTTTTAGACTATGAGGAGCCATTATTTTCTCATTCATGATTCGGGAATATTAATGTTATTTACTTTAAACGGCCCATATTACATTTTTTTATTACATATTTTCTGATCTATGTTATAATATTGTTTCCTCATCACACACAAACATACCTGGACTTGTGTTTTGTTTCATTCACACGTTTAATCCTGCATATTTAGGCCGAGTTCTTCTCTCAAAGTGAAAACAATCGGTTCCACCTTGTGTTTTCAAACTCCATGCACCTTCACTAGAATCATTTGAATGATTTCAGTCCTGGAATTTCCCCAACTCCACTAAACAAAAAGTAAAAGGAGCTGTTAACTGGAAGCATTTGAGCTTTAGAGATGTAGACATAAAGGATCGATGAAACAAAACACAACTCCAGATGAGTTTCTGATGACATAACAAATAGGAGCGTGCAAAAAATATTTAAATATCGATATATCGTATCGTTTAATGTGATGATAGAGTATCAAAATCGTGGGCAGTTGTATCGATATATATCGCCAAGAGTATTTTTTGGCAAAGTTTACCAAGTTATTTGGTTACAGCAATATAGTTTTGTTGTTTGTACAAAGGAAGGAAACTCATTTAAGCGGCACATTTGACATTTTCACTGTTTTGAGGATTAAAATGTTTGTGTTTCATATTAACTTTGCACAAAAAGTGGTTTAACAAAGACTTTTAGTGTCTTATATATATGATTATTGATTGTTATGATTGTTATATGATTTAGTTTTTTTTTTATTGAACCATATCGAATCGATTTGAAATATATCGTGTCAAAAGTGCACTGTATCGAGATATGTATCGTATCGTGTAGGGGTGTCACAATATCCAAGTCTCATGATACGATATCGTCACCGTATGAACCTCACTGTACGATATTTATTGCGATATCGTGGGAAAGCTCACGATTACGGATGTAACAATATCCAAATCTCACAGTACAATATTTTCACGATATACATCTCACGGTACGATATTTATAGTGATATTTTGTGGAGGCTAAACAGCTAAAACTGTTAATGTTACTTTTTCCTCTTAAATGCCTTGACAAGACTTAATCCAAAGAATAAAGACTTAAAAGTGCTTAGAACTGTTATTTCTTCTTGTAATCTGCACTGAAATGGAGCAAAGGATCATGGTCTATGTCAGGGGTGTCAAACATACGGTGCGGGGGCCAGATCTGGCCCTCCAAGACCTTTAATCTGGCCCGCGGCGGATTTTCTACTCAAATATTTTAATTATATTTTCAATTTAAATATTGGTAATTTTCTGTGGTGTTTATCATATCAGCGTCTCCAGCGCCTCTGTGCGTGGCCCCTCCCACCAGAGCAGCACAAATGAAGACTTGCCTCTTTCCTTGAAGGACGATTGTTTTGACTATTGACCGTGACACCCTCATCAGTAAAATGTCAAAAATGAGATAAGTGGATGCAGAGTGCAGGATTTTCCAAGAAAAATTGACTATTTGCATACAACTTAATGTTAAAACATTTTGCATTTTTCTTAAAGTTTCAGATTGTTCATAATATAATATTTTGTAAAAGAAAGAGTTCATCAATTAAAAAAGATTTCTGTAATAGATTTGCGTTTCTCTGCACAAATATTTGAACTTATTGCTATTTTTGGGGTTTATATGCCATGAGTTTTCTGATCCAGCCCCTTTTGGGATCAAAGTAGGTTGGATACGGCCCCCGGACCAAAATGAGTTTGACACCCCTGGTCTATGTAGTCTTTTTTTTTTAGCTATTGCTGCACCATAACTCTTAATTTAAGCAAAGAAACTTGTAATTCCATATATTGTGATGGTCCATTGTGATATTATTGTGAGAACTTTGACGATACGATATCACGATATTTTGGTTATTGTTAGATCCTTAGTATCATGGCCCATGTATCGAGGTATTGGCAGCTTCTTAATGATACCCAGCCCTAAAAACAACATTATAGCATGTCTAAAAGCTCTCAGGAATCAATTTTGTGTAATGTTGGACCTTTAATATGGGTATTGGCTTCACTATTCACCAAAAACGTATTACTTATTATTTATTTCACACGCCAGCACTGTTAAAAATGAGGTCAAGTCAACAAAAAGAAAAAACTCTACACTGCCAAACCACCCTCTCATTCAATGACGAGATACTGTCATATTTCCTGTTTCCGTGGCTACGCCTTTATTGGCTCTTGCTGTTTGACTAGACCACTCCTTCACATTTCACCTGAGCCAGAAGAAGTCGGCGTTTTAATACAGAAGGAGCCGCCACCAGTGAAAACAAGACAGTAATTTGAGCAATGCTAAGAGTAGACCACACATTATGGGCCCCTGGGATTAAATTATATGCCTGATACCACATTGGGGAGCAGGTAATGTCGACTATAGTAGCAATTGAATTTGTTCCAGTCACCCGTCTCTTTATCTATTCCACAATATAATACACCCACGCGCCTTTTTAATCATATCAGGCGGTATTAAAGGTCTTATATGACGCAAAAAATGACTCTTGTGAGCACTGAGCCATGTTATAATGTTGTTACCTCCACAAAAACAAACCTTGAGTTGTTTTTGTTTTCACTCACACGTGTTTGAGTAATCCTTTAGTATTATTATTATTATTAGTCTGTCGGCATCTGCAAAGCTCAAAATGCTTTCCCAAAATGATTAAAGTGAAGGTGTATGGAGGTTTAAAAGCGCAGTGGAGCACTTCCGGTATTACCACATGACATCATGAGGTGGGACAGCGAGTTTTCAGCTTGAGAAGAACTCGTTAAACCTGTGTGAATGAAACAAAACACGAAGGTTTTGATGAGGAAACACCATTATCACCAGAAAAAAAAATCTGAAAGTAAGTAATATGGGCCCTTAAAAGAGTTAAAAAGTAGTTCTTCTACACTTTGTACTTTAGTCAGCTACTTTTAGAATTTTTTTTACTTCTCATTGTAGTTTCCAGACACCATAATTTCACTCCTACTCCTCTTATGTGAGTAAAAGTTGCAGTTCCTCTTCCCACTGTGAGTAAGTCCACAAGTGACAAAAGCTTTAAGTTGACGATATGAAAACATTTTAACTTTTTTTTTTTGCACAGCTCCTTCAGATATGATTATTTGTGATCAGTCCTGTTATAGTTATTACTCTTTGTTCCACTACCTTGTACTTCTACTTGCATAATATTTAATTACGCTTGTATTTCATTATAGGTATACATTTATTGTACTTTTCCCATTTCCTCTTCCCATTATATTTTGATTAATTTGCAGAAAACGTAACTCTACTTGGACTTAGACAAACTTTAATGATCCACAAGGGAAGTTATTTGGAAAATATTTAACTAGAAATAATTTTACAGTACAGTGTTTTGAACTACGCTTGAACCTTGATCAGGACATTTAAAGACAAATACAGATGGGCTGGCAGATGTCACATTTTCGACGAAAGTGTTTTGTTTGTCCAAGTTGTTTGCCAGTATTCTGTTTTTTTTTTTTCAGTTATACTACAAATACTTTTACTTGCGCTCAAGTAGTACATGTTTATACCCTTTCCTGGAATGAGTACCAGTTCGACTACCTTCCCTTCTTCACTGTTGACAGCTACGGCACCGAACCTTTGTATATTTATGGGTTTTGGACACTGGCCCTAGCCCTAATATGACAGAGTGTTGAGTATCAGCTATCAGACAAACTCCGCTAAACGAGTGGAGCCTTTGAATAATTCATAAAGCAGAGAAACACAATCGCCGAGCCTCGTACACTAACCACTAACCCAGGAGAGAGGGGCCTACGCTGACCCATATGTGCTCCACAGCTCAAGAGAAATACACTTAAACAACACTAAGGACGTTTATTGTGGAGTTTTAATCAGGCCTGGCACGAAAACACAATTTATGTTAGATATATTACTGATGAAAATAGACGATAATATTGAAATTATCCTCCCTAAATAATATTGTGCTTGTACAGTATCATTAAACAACACAGAAATAGCAGAACCTCGCAAATGAATCACTTTCCTAGTACATTTGTCTTTAAAATGATTCATATTATTCATAATTTTATCATATTGTGTAATGTTATTTATTCAACCTGTGCGGATCAAATCTAACTGTAGTAACAAATAGATTCTCACAAGTACAAAGAGAAAGTACCCACCGTAAATACTGATTTGAACCCCCAGAAATTATTATTTATAATCACAGGTGTATTTTTAATATTAGACTGTGAATGTTGTTTGCAAATCGAGTATAATGAGTATAATATAGTGTAATAGTTTATGATAAACATGCTGCAAAAATAAAATAGTGCACCATAACTCTTAATTTAAGCAAAGAGACTTGTAATTTGATATATTGTGATGCTCCGCGATATTATTGTGAGAACTTTGACGATACGATATCACGATATTTTGGTTATTGCTACATCCTTAGTATCGTGGCCCATCTATCATATCGGCAACTTCTTAATGACCCCCAGCCCTAATAACAACATTGTAACATGTCTAAAAGCTCACAGGAGTCAATTTTGTGTAATGTTTGACCACTAATATGGGTATTGGCGTCACTATGGAAAGAACCCATGGTAAATACTGATTTGAGCACCCAGAAATTCTTATTATTACAGGCCTATTCTTAATATTAGACTGTGAATGTTGTTTGTAAATCGAGTTAATAGTTTATGATAAATTGCTGCAAAAATAGTGCATTCAAAATGAAAATGAAACCTGTAAACTACCAAATAAGGGTGACATGCCTTTCCTTTTGTGTGAAATTTTACAGTTATTTCACATTTGTCTGATACTTAAGCTATAATTTATACATTTAAAGACATGCACTGATACATTTCTGCTGGACTGACATAATTTGCTCTGTATATTGTTACTGGGATACTCATAATATTGTGAATACTGACCACCCCTAGTTAAGATAAGCAAAGTGTTTGGTTAATAAACTAAATATAAACGTGTGAATGAAGTATTTGATATGTTTGTTTCAAGTCCATCTGTTCATTTTGGCACTTGGACAATAGAAACCGTGACTGACTTTCACTAGGGCTGGGTATCATTAAGAAGTGGCCGATACGATACATACCTCGATACATAGGCCACGATACGATACATATCTCAATACAGTGCACTTTCGGTTCGATACGATATATTTCAAATCGATTTGATACGGTTCAATAAAAAACAAAAGCTAAATCGCGGCACTGAGTGTTCTTATTGCGAAAAAATTCATTTGAAAAATGCCCATTTTATTCGTCAAAACAGTGAAAATGTCAAATGTGTCGCATATAAAAAAGATTCCTTCCTCTGAACAAGCAACAAAACTGTAGTGCTGTAACAAAATAATTAGTGAAAATATACCCCAAAATGCTCTTACTCAGTTGCCCTGATGAAGGCCGAAAGGCTGAAACGCGTTGTCGTGATTTTAACTTTATCTGCCATGTGGTATTAAAGGCTTTTAATTATTTTGTACTTCTTGAGTTCTCAGTTTTTTTACTACTTTGTATTTGAGACTGGTCCCTACACTGAAGAGCACCAAAAGGACAATTCAGCACATTTTCGTATATCCAAGTAGCACTCCTGCATCCCAAAGCTTTACTCTTGGCAATATATCGATACAGCAGCCCACGATATCGATACCGTAACACACATTAAATGATACGATATAGCGATATATCAATATTTTTGCACAGCCCTAACTTTCACTAGGGCTGGGTATCATTAAGAAGTTGCCGATACGATACATACCTCGATACACAGGCCACTGATACGATACATATCTCGATACAGTGCACTTTCAATTCGATATGATATATTTCAAATCAATTTGATGTGGTTCAATAAAAAAATTAAAGGCTAAATCATGGCTGTGACACTAAAAGTCTTTTTTAAACCACTTCTTGTGCAAAGTTCATGAGAAATGCAAACATTTGAATCATCGGAACAGTAAAAATATCAAATGTGCTGAATAAATGAGCTTCCTTTCACTCCACAAGTAACAAAACTGTAGCTCTGTAACAAAATAATTTAGTAAAACACACCTAAAAATACTCTTGGTGACATATCGATACAGCTGCTCACGATATCGATACCGTATCATCACATTAAACGATACGATATAGCGATATATCAATAATTTCGCACAGCCCTGACTTTCACTGTGAAGTTAATCATGAAAAAGCGTATTAAATGTGTTAATATGGACAAGTACAAGATTATAGATGTTTGGATAAGCAGTGGGACGCCAAACTTGGGTTAAAAACAACTGTAGCTCTTAGAAAAGTGAAGTGCCGCAGTACAGTTGTTAGCGCTAGTTGCTAAAGTTAGCATAGTGACATGACAGCCGTAACTTATGTAATTAACTTAGCGATTTAACCACAGCAAAACAACCAGCGTGAGTGTAAAGACGTGATCACTAACATGTCACGAGAGAGATTTGAGGGGGTTTGATGCGCGAGATAAATAAGCGGATGTGACAGTTTGACAGCAGCGGTGTTGAATCAGCTGTGCTAACATGCTAAGCTACATCGGAGCTAACGTTAGCATTGGGAGCTAACGTAGTAAAAGCGGAGCGTCCGGCGCGGATGTCACACACTCTCCGCGGCGCTACGTACCTCCCAGGCGCGGTGAAGAGTGAGGCTGTCCCCCTGATCGGCGCGGAGAAGAAACCCGGAGCTAAATCAGACGCTACGAGGCCAATCAATGTCGTCCCCGGGGGGGAGTTGCACTAATCCCTTGTCGGTGTCACGGAGCTTTCGGGGGCTGAGCTGAAGCGGACCTCCAGCGGAACTGCCGCAGCCTGTGCCACGTCCACATCCGGAAAACACGCGCTGTCTTCCGGCCTTCAGCTCCGTCTGCTGCCCGGCGACCTCACAGCAGCTCCGGCTCATGGAAGCGTCCACAAGCAAAGAAAATCTCAAGGAAATCTCATATGAAGTAGACCAGGCATGTCCAAACTATGGCCCGGGGGCCAAATGCGGCCCTCAGACACATTTTTCTTGGCTCATGCTTCCAGGTGAATTTGCCTAAATTACTTTGCATTCATTAAAAAATATTTTTTTACTGCAAGGTTTTTGAAAATCTACCTAGATAAAACCAATATTTAATATTTTGTGTGTGGTTTTAAGGATCTTAGCATGAATAAAGTCTGATGGCTCATTTTAATGTGTTAAACATGCACACATTTCAATTATTACCTGTACTGAGCACCAGTCTACGGCCCTCGATCAGCCCTCTGCTTCGTCTGTGTTTACATATGTGGCCCTTGATGAAAAAAGTTTGGACACCCCTGAAGTAGACAGTGTTGGGAAGGTTACTTTTAAAATGTATTCCCCTACAGATTACAGATTACATACCCCAAAATGTAGTTTGTAACGTAATCCATTAAATTACTTAAAGTGAGTAACGTAATCTGAATACTTTGGATTACTTGATATTGTTATGCTTTTGAAAACAACATGAATGTAACAACCACATCCTGAAAATTCTTGTTTGTTCTCTTCAAATTGTCTGTTGAGCCCAAGTCTCCATGAACAGACAACTGTTTACTATAGAGAAGTAAAGACCAGGAAATCTTAACATGAGATATTTGTTTTGTCTGTGAAAATAAAATAAAAAGTCCTGTCTTTACTTAAGCATTTTAAAAATATTATTGATAGAGAAGTGATTTCTATATGAAATCACTGCTGCCTTAAATTATGTCCACCTACTGTTAGGTGTCATATTGTCTAGACCAGGTTTAGTCCTGCTTTTAGACCTGGTTCAATCCTGGTTTAGAGTCCTGGTCCTGGTAGTCCTGGTTTAGTCCTGGTTTAGGCCTGGGTTTAGGCCTGGGTTTATTCCTGGTTTTAGTCCTGGTTTAGTCCTGGTTTAGTCCTGGTTTAGTTCTGGTTTAGCCCAAAATGTGAAAACAGGAAAATACAGCTGTGTAATCCATTTATTTCAACAAAGTAACTGTAATCCAATTACCACTCACTGAAACAGTAACTGTAACTGAATACAGTTACTCATAAATTGTACTCTGATTACGTAATCCCAGTTACATGTAATCCGTTACTCTCCAACACTGGAAGTAGACCAGACGTGTCTATTTAGCCGGGACAGTCCCAGATTTGAGCCTTGTCTCCCCTGTCCCAGCAGATTTATACAAAACCAGAGATTTGTCCCAGTTTTGTCCAAGAAATGTCCCAGGTGTCTCTATTTTTGACTAGAGTGACCAGATTTTCAACAAAAAAATTGGGAATCGAGCACGTAATAGTCACATTTTCTTTGTAAAGTAAATGGCAAAGGAAAACTCAAGGAAATTTCAGATGAAGGGAGACCAGATGTATCTATTTACCCAGGACAGTCCCAGTTTTGAGCCCTGTGCCCCCTGTCCCAGCAGATTTATCCAAAACCGGAGATTTGTCCCAGTTTTGTCCAAGAAATGTCCCAAATTTTCAAATAAAAACTGGGACACCCCTGGTTTAAGGTGGTAAGCAATAATAAAATTGTGAAACAAGTGCGTTTTTAAGGAAAACTGTTCTGCACTTGTCCCATTCATGACTAAAATGTGAGTCAGTATAGTCACATTTTCTTTGTAAAGGAAATGGAAAGAAAAACTCAAGGAAATCTCATATGAAGGGTGAAGACATCTCAGTGACAGTCCCAGATTTGAGCCTTGTCTCCCCTGTCCCAGCAGATTTATACAAAACCAGAGATTTGTCCCAGTTTTTGTCTAGGGTGATCAGATTTTCAAATAAAAATTTGGGACACCCCTGATTTAAGATGGTAGGTAATAATAAAATTGTGAAACGAGTGCGTAATTACGAAAAATTGTTCTGGACTCGGCCCATTCATGACTAAAATGTGAGCCAGTATAGTCACATTTTCTTTGTAAAGGAAATGGCAAAGGAAAACTCAAGGAAATCTCATATGAAGGGTGAAGACATCTCTATTTACCCGGGACAGTCCCAGTTTTAAGCCTTGTGTCCCCTGTCCCAGCAGATTGTTTCAAAACCAGAGATTTGTCCTAGTTTTGTCCAAGAAATGTCCCAGATTTTCAAATAAAAACTGAGACAACCCTGGTTTAAAATGGTAGGTAATAATAAAATTGTGAAACGAGTGTGTAATTATGAAAAACTGTTCTGGACTCGGCCCATTCATGACTAAAATGTGAATCAGTATAGTCACATTTTCTTTGTGTTTTGGTCATTTTTAAGCAGCTTTTCTGTATTTTACCAAAACAAGTTACACTTTATGCTCCTCTTTACAGTTGACAGGCTTCAGATTGGTAAAAATAGGGACACCTGGAACATTTTTTGTATAAAATTGGGACAAATCCCTGGTTTTGGATGAATCTGCTGAGACAGGATACACAGGGCTCAAAACTGGGACTGTCGTGTGTAAATAGGGACATCTGGTCATCCTATTTTTGACCAATTTGACATCCGCCAACAATAAAGAGGGGAATTTTATATTTATATATTTTATATTTGTGTAGCTAAAATACAGAAAATCCATGCTTGACCTTAAGGCAAAAAAAGACATTGACAGATTAAACTAATATACTGAGCCAAAGTGAGTCGAGAATGGACAATATAACTCACTCTTTTCACAATTTTATTTATACCAACCATCCCAACCTCACCGTGTCTGGTAAACCTAATAGAATATTGAATTTAAATATATTCCTGGTCTAATACGGACATGTTTCCTTGATATTTACATCATGTACCTCAACTTTTAGACTTTTGCCTCTTAAAGGTTGTATGGAGGAATTATTTTTTTGTTTCAAATTGTCAGTGAAAGTTTAAAACACCATTACAGAGACGCAGCAGCTTTGTAATTATGATGACCAAAAAAAAAAAAGAATGAAAATCTATCAACTGTGGACGTAGTGACGCCAGATAAACATCAGCAAATACAAAACGAGGCTCCCTCATTTTCTATTGGCTGTTAGATCGTCAATCAAACTTCTTACGTTTCTAGTATAACTGACTCGTCGGCGTGCGGGGATTTTGTGGTTTATGCGGCGGTTCTTGGCGGGTTTTTCAAACTGTCGCTTCCTCGCAGTTCGTACAAAGTTTGTACCGATGGCGGATGAGAATCCACGACCAGTTCGCCGCAAAAGAAAGTCCATTTTTGAGGTCGCTGAAAGAAGAAGAGAAGGGGAAAAGGAGCAAAGCCAAACTGAGGTGATTCTTGGAGATCTCTTCCAGTGATTACGCAAACGAAGCAGACGAAGGGTCTAAAAACTGACGCGTCGGTCACTAAATTATTTCTAGACAGGTCACTTCAACAGTAATTCTGAACGCGCACTGGCTGTAAACAAACGTGATTTCTAGAGTAAAGAGGCGGGAGGAGGAGGTGTTTCTGACTGGAGAGGAAGGTGGTGTCACGCATGCACGACATTTGAAAAAGGACTGTGTCTGTATTTCTTTTCCCTTAAAAAATCCTCTATACAACCTTTAAGCAAAAAATTGGAGGGAAAACTCACTTTGTTGCTCCGTCATCTCCATCTTCTTTTACTAATGTAGCAAAGGCATACTAACTATTTAAGATTGGTTGCACATTGAAATGCAAATATTGTATTGATTATTGATTTGTTCATGCCCACGTTTTGACCAATTGACAAATTTAATTTCTCTTTTCCCATGGGTTCTTCCTTGGATGACTGAGGGATTCTATACACATCTTGAGAGCAACTATGAGCCAACCAACTCTGGACTGGTAAGAAAGCTGGAAAAGGATACTAAAAGGTCCTAAAAGACAAGAGGAATCATTTACAGTTTGACCTAAATAAACGTTCAGTTGGCACATTGAATTTCTCCTTATATCTTCTTTAAAGGTGTATTATGTAACTTTCTGGTGAAGGTCTGCCAAATGCTTTTCTTTATGGAGATGTTATTGCTTTGTCTAGAATCTTTCACAGTATGGTATTAAACTTTTCTCTCTTCATGGAAACCAAACAAGACTAACAAGACAAACAAGTTACAGGTCAGATCTGTGGAGAGGCGATCCCGCTCACAGTCAGAATGCCTGTTTTTCTAGATATTTTTGCGCTATAAAACCACCTGTAATTGAATACATGTAAGGAGGAGCTGTGTAATGTCATACTGTGGACCATTCCAAGCAAAACAATGACATCTCCATAAAAACAAAAGGGTGACACACTCTTAACCAAAAAGTTACAAGGTTCACCTTTAATGCAGTGCGTTTTAGGCCTACTATTTACTATTTTTCATCAATTAGAAACTGAAAAGCAAATATTGTATTGATTATTGATTTGTTTGTTGTGCCTTGTTATTATTGTCCCAGGCCTTGGATCGCCTTTGCAAGTTTTATTAGCAAACAGAAGGCAGTTTGTCCAGCCTGTTTATAAAAAGATATTGCCATCTTGGATCAAGAATCATATTTACTATTAGGGGTGTCAAATTATCGCGTTAATTGCGATTAATTAATTACAGTCATATTTAGCGCGTTATGTTTTTTAATCGTGTTAATCTCATTTTTAATCTCTAACTTTACTGTTTCTGTATGTGAGTTGCTTTATTATAAAACCTGTTTTTATGTGTTGTTGGAACAACAACACAAACACAAAAAACACATTTATAATTTTTTTTATTTCGGTAATTCCACTCATTGCCGGAAACCCACACAAAACGCGCGCAGTAAGAGCGATGTAAACGTCAGTCACACAATGGACGAGGTGGAAGAGCCAGTAGAACAGAGGCAGCAGTGCACAGGTAAAAACACATTTGTGTCTTGGAAATTATTCTCCCGATGTGAAATATAAAAGAAAATAACAAATATAAAATCGCCTACAACTTAAATGTCACTGGTGAAAACAACCTGCATAGGCTCATGATGTCTGCACTACTGTCCTATACACAAACACACAAACACACACAAACACAAACACACACAAACACACACACACACACACACACAAACACAAACACACACAAACACACACACACACCTTCATCATCGTCATTAACCTGAGAACGCGCGGACCACGTTTCCTTCCGTAGACACTGCGTGGACACCGACGTGCTCCCGTGCGCCTTGTGTGGATCGTGTTTTCTCGCGTACGCGGCGTAAACCGCGCTTCCTCCTGTGCCTCTAAACCAGAACTAACACCAAGACTAAAACCAGGACTAATCCAGTCCAGGACTAAACCAGGACTAAACCAGGACTAAACCAGGACTAAACCAGAACTAAAACCAGGTCTAAACCAGGACTAAACCAGGACTAAACCAGAACTAAACCAGAACTAAAACCAGAACTAAAACCAGGTCTAAACCAGGAATAAACCAGGACTAAACCAGAACTAACACCAGGACTAAAACAGGATTAATCCATTCCAGGTCTAAACCAGGACTAAAACAAGGACTAAAACCAGTGATCTCATATATAAAGCATTTCTCTATCAATAATATTTTTAATATGGTTAAGGAAAGACTGGACTTTTTATTGTCTTTAAGTAGACAAAAGTTATTATGTTCAGATTTTCTCATCTTTGCTACTTTACAACAAACAGTTTCTTATTCATGGAGACTTGGGCTCAACAGCCAATTTGGGGAGATTTGTTAAACAATAAATGACTTTATAAAGTCACTTTTTTTAAATCTATATCAGTCTTTTGATCTGCCACAATAATGTAATAATGAATTTAAATGAAAATACCTCAAATTGAAGCTTTTCTCAGCAATTTTTAGGTGAGATTAAAATGAGATTAATTAGATTAATTAATTACAGATCATAATTAATTAATCTCTCAATTTTTTTAATCGCATGACAGCACTATTTACTATACGCAGTAGTTAAAGGTGCACTGTGTAACTTTTCTGGTGGAGGTTTCGCTACATGCTTGTCTCCATGGACATGTTACTACTTGTCTCCAGTGTTCCATGGTATGACTTTAAACATATCTATCTACAATTTATTCATTACGTGTGTTTCTATTGCTCAAAAATACAATAATTCCTTCTGTGAATAGGGGCGCCTCTCCACAGATCTGACTTGTAATGTGGCGCAGTGCTGTAACCTGCTGCTCCCTCATGATAAGTAGGTTTAATTTATACTGTGGAACACTACGGACAAAGCAATAATAAGCAATTTCCATGGAGACGAGCAGGTGACGGACCCTCCACTGGAAATGTTCCGCAGTGCAGCTTTAAACTCTGATAACTTTCTCGGTTCGTTTGGCTGGTTGGCTTTTTTGCCACGGTTCATTTTCGGTTCGGCGATTAAACTGGCACGTTCTATTTTAAACAATCAAACGGTTCTATTACGAGCTATCTTATCAACAACTATGAACTCAGCTTTTGTCTCTCAATAACATTTCTTAATCTTTTGAAGCTTCTGTCCAGATACTTCAAATACTTCCCCCTCACACCTGCTGCCCTCTATGCCCCTCGACGTCTGGTGTGCCTCGCTCGCCTACACTGCAAAAAACAACATCTAGGTGAGTTAAAATGACTTAAACTAAGGACACTTTACTTTATTTGAGTAGATTCAGCCTGACAAATAAAATGATCTACCAATGGAATAAGTGTTTTTTCTTAATTCAAGCAACATTAGATTTTGTTTTTTTTTTTATTTAAAGACTTAAACAAAACTTTATTGATCCACAAAGGAAATTATTTGGACACAGACATCACAATATAATATAATAAGAAAGAGAGAGAGAGAAAAAAATGGTAATAATAAATTCAAAATAAGTAAATCAGGTGTCAGTTTTTTTTTTTTTTGTTTTTTTTTTTGTATTTGTTGTGGGTGTTGCTTTATGTTTTTGTGTTTTGTTTTATGCTGATATTGTAATTTGTTAAATGTTGTTTGTTGTGTTTTTTAATGTTATATTCTGTTGTCTTTAAATAAAAAAGACTAAGTAAATAAGAATAAGAGTATAAATGTATATGTACAAGTCAAAATAAAATAGGAAAATAAGTAATAAAAAATTTAAATCACAGCTTCATACAAGGGGGTCATAGTGTAAAGAGTTGTTGTTTTTCTTATCGTAAAGGTGCACTATGTAACTTTTTGTTGTTGTTTGTTTCTATGGAGATGTCATTGCTCTGCCTGGAATGTTCCACAGTATGACATTAAACAGCTCTACCTTACATTTATTAAATTACGGGTGGTTTTATTGCTCAAAAATACCTTAACAACAACGAAAAAAAGTGGCATTCTGACTGTGAGTGGGGTCGCCTCTCCACAGATCTGACCTGTAACTTGGTTTCGTTTGGTCTCCGTGAAGATAGACAGGTTTAATGCCATACTGTGAAACATTCCAGACAAAGCAATAACATCTCCATGGAGAAAAGACCAAACCAGGCCAAGTTACAGGTCAGATCTGTGGAGAGGCGACCCCGCTCACAGTCAGAATGTCTGTTTTTCTAGGTATTTTTGAGCTCTAAAACCACCTGTAATTGAATAAATGTAAGGTTGATCTGTTTAATGTCATACTGTGGAACATTCCAGGCAGAGCAATGCCATCTCCACAGAAACAGGAAAATTATGGACCCCATTCGAAAAGTTACATGGTGCACCTTTAAGAAAAAGTCTTGTTTCATTGGTAGATAATTTTAGCCAGGCTGGCGCCACCTAGTGCCTTCGCTCAATTTCATTTCTCTCCAGCGACTAGGTCAGGAATCGGAATACACTAGACGGTTCGCAAAAACCCCAGAAGTGTAAGATCGGGCACTAGCCAATCAGCGAAGAGCCATATATTCTGGGTGGGCAACGATTCCCGAGATCAAGGATTTAAAGAGAATGTTTGGTGAATTTTATATCAAGAGGAAAGACGTTATTGTCCTTCTTCCTACGGGATTTGGCGCATTACATACATCACGACCAAATAGCAGCGATTGTTTAAATAAAAAAAGTACCCGCCTACTGTCGAGCGAACGAATCCTAATGCTGCGAGGCCAGACAGTTTCCACGAAGTGAAACCAGCTGATTGTCAAAAGCCACCTGTTTGTTGAAAACCAAACTCCTAAACAGGACCATCAACGCTTGTATTAATCACAGGCTCCTGAAAACGTTTTCTTCTTTTCAGACTATCTTACAACTTTTTTTTTAAAATTTTAACTATGTTTGTGTGTATGTTTTTGCAGTATGTCACCACAATACAATATTTTTTGGCCTCAATATTTGCTGTAATTGGGAATTTATCCTAATTTCAGTGACACTTTAGTTTAGGGACCACACATTAATTTGGGAAAAGCTTAATACACCAGTTATCCCCATTAGCAGCAAATAGTGGCGATTGGTTAAATTAAAAAAGTACCAACCTATCGTCGAGTGAACGAATTCTAACGCTGCGAGGCCAGACGGTTTCTACAAAGTTAAACCGGCTGATGAATCGAGCTGAGATAATTTTACTTGTCCAGCGAAATTGACTCAAATCATGATAAAACTTTCTTAACTCAAGTAATCTGAACTACCGTAGATAGATTTTATTTTTTGCAGTGTACGCTTGAGCCTGGCTGCCCCCCTCCTCCCTCCCTCCCTCCTGCCCTCTCTGCCCTGGGTGGGTGGGGGCAGTTCGGCGGGTGACGGGGGCATGGGGGTGTCAAAAAGAGGTCTATTTCAGGAACGTATATCAGCGAAGCATCCCATGTGCTGAGTGTTGAAGTGACAAGGCAAGTGTGGAGACAAGAGGATGACTGCAGTCGACCGTGCAGCATTCCAGGCCTGAGTGCTTCGAAAGAAAGCGAGAAAGAACGACCCTAACCCCGCCCGTACCCCAACCACCGACCACAAAACCAACCAACCACCGACCGCCAGCCCAAAGACCCATGAGGGATTTGGCGAAGAGCTCAGACGGAGAAGAAGAAGCAGCAGCAGCAGCAGCAGCGGGGAAGTGAAGTCGGGGGTGTCTCTGCGAGGTTGCCGGACCGATTTCGTCATGGTGGCGGAGGAGATCGTGGTGACGCTGTCCGGTGGTGCTCCTTGGGGTTTCAGGCTGCAAGGAGGAGCGGAGCAGCAAAAACCTCTACAAGTGGCCAAGGTATGGACCACAAACTGTATAAAAAATGAACTTTTACTCAAAATTTGGCAAGCTTTATTGATCCACGAGGGAAATGACAGTCTTGGGTTGTCAAAAGTATAGAAAATCAGATACGACACTGTAAAATTATGCCATATTTGACCCCAGTCTCTTACTATTTTTGCTACTTACTTTGAATTTATCACACTTTTTTTTTTTGTTATTGTATTATATTGTGATTTGTGAGCCACTGTGTCCAAATATTTTCCCTTGTGGATCAATAAAGTTAGTCTAAATGTACGTGTAAGTCTAATACTAATCGATACTAAAACTAATATCGAAGCTGGATCCTTTCTTGAGCAGGTATCGATACTGAAAAAGTCCCATTCACAGGACAGAAATGAACCAATCCTGAAGCTTTAGAACGATCTGGAGCTGTATCAGAACAAGTCTTACTGTCGATAACTCATGTTTCGATCTTTTCAAACTAAAAAAAGCAGCTTAAACTTTCTCTTTCTTCGGTGAAACTAACATTTTTATAGTGTCAGCAGTTTAAACTTCATATAAACGTGACACCTGTGCAGTACCGAACAAATAACATCAGAATTTCACTTATTCAAAGCAAAAATGTCCATGGATTTGTGGTTATATATGTCATTTTCTAAGCAACAAAACACTGAAAGTTGTCAAGTTTCGTAATTTAACAATGGAAATTTAGTTAATATAACATAAGCTGGAAAAACGTGGTACTTTCTGAGACGTATAAAAACGGAAAGTGGCATTACTGATCCATATATAAAGAGAATACTGGCCTAAATTAAGCCTATAATTAACCCCCACTGGATTCTTAATGGATGGTGCCAAATACTGAAGTCTGTGTTTAATTTAGTTGCTTGAAAGACGTTTCAATACATGTGCAAGATGAGAATTTCTAATGGTTTCTTCATTTTATTCAAAGCGTAGTTTAATATTCTAGTTTAATAGTTGGATTTGAGGTCTTGGGTGTTTTTCGTACCATCTTTTTGTAATGGTTTTCTGATTCAAAGTAACCAAATCTTGAAGTCTTAAAGGTGCACTGCGTAACTTTACTGGTAGAAGGTTGCTTTGTTTGTATCTATGGAAATGCTGTTGCTATAGCAGGCCAAGTAACAGGTCGGATCTGTGAAGAGGCGACCCCGGTAACACTGAGAATCCATGTGTTCAAGGTATTTCCTGTTAAAAGACCCATAATGAAATAAAAGCTAGGTTGATTTTTAATGCTATACTGCGCAAATTTCCAGTCAGAGAATTAATAAATCCATGGAGACAAGCAGGAAAAGTTACGCAGTGCACCTTTAAGTCTATGTTTAGTTTAGTTAGTGGTGCTTAAAAGACATTTCACTTACTTATGTCTTAATTTTACTAAGCGTATTTCAATATTGTAGTTAAATGGTTTTATTGAGGCATTTCATATTTTCTTACTTTTTTATTTTACTGCAGTTTTTGTGCTGTGTCGTGTAACAAAGTGTCTCAAATTTTTATAGTAGGTCAAAATTATCTAAGACAGCCAAGAAGTACTGGCTTAAACCAAATTAATTAACTGTTAGTAGTGATTGTTTGATGACAAAATCGGTTAGACGTCTTAAAGGTGCACTGTGTAACTTTTCTGGTCAAGGGTCGGTCACTTGCTTGTTATTGTTTTGTTTAGCGCACCTTTCTCCAACCCTTTTCTTCCATCGAGTGAGCTACTTTTACAAAATGAAAATGCCAAAGAGCTCCTCATTTTAGTGGTCACAAGAAACTGAATAAATTTAAGAGCCACGACCTCAGATGGTTCACAGTTAGATGTTTATATGCTTCATCAAAATGACACATTTACGCTCTTTAATCAGTCCAATTTGAGTTATTCAGCACAATACGTGTAATTCCGAAATCCCTTGGCGAGGGAGCGGAGAGCTACAGGTGACTCCCGAGCTACAGGCTGGAGACACCTGGTCTAGAATGTCCCAGAATGGCATTAAACATATCCATCTTGCATTTACTCAATAACATGGGTTTTTATTGACCTAAAAACTTGCATTCTTACTGTGAGTGGGCTCGCCTCTCCACAGATCTGACATGTAACTTAAATAAATGTAATAAATAATAGTAATAAAGAACTAAATACATGTAATAAATGCATGTAAGTGTAACTGTGGAACATTTCAGGCAACATTAGGTTAGGCAGATCAATTTGTTTTGCAGATTTTAGATGCTGGTCCTACATTTCTCATTTAATTTATTCACACTATAAACAATAAACACATATAAAAACACAATTACACACAGCAGAATGGTTTTATTCCATAAATAATTAATTCATACATCACGCTTGGCTGAAAATCACAATAAATATAAAAAAAATACAATTTCCAAGACATTTCCGTACTCTTTTCTTTCTCTCGCTTTAATTTTGTGGTGATTATTTATGTTTTGACTTGTTTTTATTGTAACTTTAATGTAATTTCTTATTCTCTAAAGCACAATTACTTTGCCTTGTCTGGTTACTGAAATCGATAGATAAATAGATCACAGTTTCCATGTTGAGACGCAGGTGACGGCCTCTCCATCTGGAAAAACTACGCAGCGCACCTTTAATCAATACAGTGTAAACATAGTGAGTCCGACACCACTTCTCGGGGAGGTTGCCGGGTCGGTGACCTTACCGTGACCCGTGCAGATGGATGTGTGGATGTTACAGACTCAGGAGTAACTGGAGTGCGTGGATTGAATGGAGGCTGCAGCTGTTAATTGGCAGCTGAGGTTTGACGGTCAGACTTGTGGTTTGTGTGTTTGTAAACGGAGCTGTACGGAGAGAAACAAGATCGTCCGGAGCTTTGAGAGAAGCTTTGAGGTGTTTATGGATGCGCGGTTAAGATGTCTCCTGTAATATTTTCAAAAATTTGTATTAAATTGCGTTATTTAAAGGTGTATTGTGTAACTTTTCATTGCTTAAACACTTCTACTTTACATTTATTCAATTACAGGTGGGTTTATAGCTCAAAAGTACCTACACAGCAAAAACTGGAGGGTTAAAATTTTAGGGTAAAATATTTCAGTTGTTTTTAACACCAAAAGTGTTATTTTAACTGTCTGAAAGTTAAATGTGGGTTCGAGTTGGGGTTATTTGCCAGAGTTGATGTGGTTGAGGTTAATTCATCTTCCTCTAGTGTTAATTCAACTTTCCTTAGTGTTAATTTGGCTCCTCCCATTCACCACTTCAAACTCTTGTGAGAGAAGACCAGTTTGAACCAGTTTTGTACACAATTTCATCTTAAATGAACTCAAATAAAGTATAAATAAAATAAAACACCTCTGTGTGTTGTTTAGCTAAATCAGGAACCGTACAAAGTGTTATTTGTTTACTCTCAAAACATTAATATAAATCTGGATTTCGGGGTTAAACAGGAACTTTGGTCCAGTGTTACTTAATTAACATTTCCAAAAATGTTAAATTAACTCTAGAACAGATTGGACTCATATAAACTCTAAGAAAATGTTAAAGTTGATTCTGTGAGAGTCAATTTTAACACTCCACTTTTTGCTGTGTAGAAAAACAAGAAGTCTGACATAGATCTGACCTGTAACTTGGTCTGGTTTGGTCTCCATGAAGATAGAAAGGTTTAATGCCATACTGTGGAACATTCCAGACAAAGCAATAACATTTCAAAGGAGAATAGTGTTTGACGGACCCTCCACCAGAAAACGTACACAATCCACTTTTAAGTCAAATCTAGGCCGGTCATGATAATTGACATTTAAAGTTCAGTTTATACTTTGCAGCTGAAGTCATCAATATTCGTTATATGATGTCACATTTACTTCTGATTAATGATTCTAACTAACTACCTGTGTTTTCGTGCTACTAATAATTGATCGTAGGTCATGTTTTATTAATGGTTTGGTCCATTGTTCTGCTGTAGGGATATTGTATCAGTGTGACTTTACGTAAAGGTCCTATATTACACAAAACTGACTTGTGTGAGCTTTAACCCTCTCAGGCTCAAATTAATTTTTAGTATCAGGAAAAATCTGATATTTGGGGAAAATTATAATATGGGGTAGTAATATACAATCCTGACTTTTTTATCCTTTGTAAACAAAAAAAGTATTTTGCACTTCTGGCAGGTTGTTTGCGTGTAGCCATTCTTGCACAGTCTGCATCGTCCATGTTTATCAGCACGGATGGGAGAAAAGTCTCCTGAGTAAAAAAAGCTCATAAAATATGGATGTGGAGTAAGTAGGTAATTGGAATTTAGCTGTTGCAAATCTGCAACGCCTGCCTGGAGAGGGTTAAGACGTGTTAGAATGTTATTATGAAATTATTATCAAAAACAGATCTGGAGTTGTGTTTTGTTTCATTCACACATGTTTGAGTAACTCTTTATTATTACTCTGTCTACATTTCCAAAGCTCAAAATACTCTGCTCCACCTTGTGATGTCATGAAGTGGTAGTTTTTATCTTTAGTTCAGTAGAGATGGGCAATTCCAGGACTGAAATTATCCAAACGGTTCCAGTGAAGGTGCATGGAGTTTAAGTTTCATCTTAAATATGCAGAGTTTGTGTGTTAAACGTGTGTGAATGAAACAAAACACGACACATACATTCCAGATACAGTATATTTTTGATGAAGAAACAACATTATAATATAGATCAGAAAAAGCGTAATCTAAGCCCTTTAAATTACCCATCAGTATTATTGTTTATCTTGGTATTTTTCGTAGAAATATGTGGCATCTCAAAAATTGTTATTGTGACAGGCCTAGTCTTAATTGTTGCTTTTTACTTTACGATTTAAAGCTTTTGTCAGTTGCTCTAGTTCATTTATTAACATTTATTTATTAATTCAAGTTATCTTTGTTGCATTTTTGTTGTGTGAAAATAAAATAAACTTACATTTAAAATTAATTATAGAAATATTGTACCCTCTAACTCAGACAGTGATGGGAAGGTGACTTTTAAAATGATTACAGATTACATATTACACACACCAAAATGTAG